GACACGAGATCGGTATCGGTGATTCCATTTGCTGTCTGAAATGATATGGGCTCTGGAGTCACGAGTGTCTCGAGACTATGCTTCTCGATCTTCTTCTGAGATATGAGGTCATGGCCACACCCAGTGTCCATGAGAAACTTGATCTTCTTCTTGAGGATGACTGGTTGAACCATGCATTTGAATACACCTTGATTGATGATCCGTTTGCTGTGCGCAGCATCGAGTTCACGCTCAACGATGGAATCCTCACCGTCGTAGAAGGAAACTTCTTCCACCCGAGACGTTCCTGGGATTCGTACGCATGAAACTCGATCTCCGCATTGATCATCATCGTCGTCAACCATGTCTCTCATGATCTGTGCCCTCAATCTCGCTTTGTGCTTGGCGAATTCCAAATTCACGGCGCGATCCTCATTGTTGACAAGCGCTTCCATGTCGACGTACTTCACCTTCCGCTCCTTGTCCTTCTTCGATCTTCTAGGACACGAAGAAATGAACTTCACGTCATCGGCGAATGTCACATTACGCTTGATCTCTTTTCGGGTCGACGTAGTCGGTCCCGAGGATTCGTCGTCTGTTGAACAATCCGAATCAGCGTCGCTGTCAACGGATGGACAATCTGACTCCTCCTCATCTTGTCTTGAAGATCGCTTCCATATAGCCGGGGCTGATGGATTCCACCTTCGGCACAATCTGATGGCGGGTGCCGCAGGGAGTGCCTTGGCCTTGGCATTCGGCTTCGCTGGAGCTGCCTTTGCTTCGGATTTGGCTTTAGCTTTTGCCTTTGGTTCCGGAGCTGGGGTAGCTGCTGCCTCATGCTTGAAAGGACAATTCTCTCTTGAGCACGAGCCTGTGTTCTTGAACGAGTAGCATATCCTATTTCCTCCTCCTCCAGACGGACTTGGAGTTCTCGTCCTCGGCGTAAAGGGTCGCTCTGGAGTCTTCTTCGAGTGACTGAATGGGCACTTGTCACCATTTCGACACCCTGCATCTGTGAAATGGAACTTGCAGCGGATTTGCTTCTTGCTCTTGTCGCCTCTGTTGTCCGCTGACTCACTCCTCGTCTTCTTCTTGGGCTTTGGCTTGGTCTTCGCATGACTCTTCGCTTTGCTTTGAGGTAGTACAGGTGTTGCTTTATCCGGCTTGGTCGGCGAAGCCTTGACCTTTGCGGATGGAGCTGCGTTAGGCGTTGGTTTCTCAGGTACCTTGGCCGGTGCAGCAAGCAAATCCTTGCCCTCAAGCATCTGGCGCAAGCCAATTTGGGTCTGAGTGAGATTTGATTGTTCTCGTCTCCGCATGATGGTACGGTCAATGATCTTCATCAGATTGTCGTACGATCGGTCTTCATGATTGTAGGGCAAGTGTTCGTAGTGCATGCCCAACTCCATCTTCATTGCGGGCGAGTCCTTGATCTTGCTGTACAAGCAATCACGGAGAGCTGTTTTGGATGGTATGTCTTCTGGCCTCATCCGTCCCAGAACTTCCAACCACGTCTGCTTGAACGTATGAAGTTTGTTGTCGCCTTGGTACTGGAGCTTCACCAGATACTCGAGAGTGATGATCATGTCGAGACGATCGTGCGTTCGAAAACTTTCATACATCATCGCAATGATTTGTCGTCCTTTGATGATCTTCCCTTCGGGCCTGCTGATGTAATCGTTGGCCTTCCGGTTCACCTCCAGGTACAGATCAGCAGATTTGTCACCACCAGCGCGTAGCATTGCGACCATGGCGATCCCCAATTTGACGTCTACGCTCTTGAACTTCTTGTGTCCTGAATCGTTCAGTGCTTCGACATCAGGGAATGGGTTGAACGCTGGTGCCAGCCATAACATCCAGTCCTCATGATTTGGGTCGGCTGATGCTCCTAAAACATTGGCCGTGCATACGGATCGCCAGTTGTTGAGGTGAGTGAGAGTGGGCCATGGAGGAACGGTCACTTTATCGGCTTCCCTCCTGGAAATTCTCACCTCTGTGACTTCAGGATCTGCGTCTCCATCAGGATCACGCGCATGAGGGTCAGGATCCGGGTCAGGTTTGCCTCCACCGCTTCTCTTCTTATCATCATCGTCATCATCAGGCGGATCTGGAGGATCATACCCCGTGCCGGTTCCTTCATCATGCTCTCCCTCTCCGTTCTCGTCGCCAGCTTCATCACCGTCATCGTCTCCATTGTCTTCCTGAATCGTTTCAGCAAATAATCTCCACTCATCACGATCAGCTCTGAGACGCTGTTCGGCTCTCTGGGCCTTGAGTACTTCGCTTCGCAGATCGGCAATCTTCTCTTCGTACCGTTCCGCGACCTCTTTCTCGATCTGACGCCTCCTTGCCTCATGGATAGAATCGTCATAGGCGACAGGGGGACCAATGAGGTCGTTGCCCTTCGTAGATGCGATAATGCCGTCGATACCAACAGGTCTTGAGGAGCTGGCAGATGCTGTGGACTTCGATCCCAACATCCCGCGATCCTCCAAGAGTTCGCGTAGCTGTCGATCACGCACGGCTGCCACATCACTTTGCCCATGAAATCCGCTTGGTATGCCAAACAGAGTGGCTGCACTAGGCGTGGAACGCGCAAGTGCTGGGCTGCTAATACCTGGCACGTAGTGCTCGGGCATTGCATCCGCCACCACGATTGGCGTTGAATAGGATTTATTCACCTCACCTTTGATGCGGCCAGTGAAGAAGTTTCCACCGGTAAATGGAATTTCATCCATCGCAAGGTTCTTGTCCTTGTCCGATTCCGAGAATGCGAACTTCTCTTTGGCGACTGGACTAACTTGACTTGGGGACCGTATTTCAGGGGATCGTACCTCACCTCCTACGGAAAATGCAGGCACTACTTCCTTTCCTACGTGCTCCCAGCCAGACTCAGTAGTCCTCGAAGACATGGGCATGCTCGAAGGCCGTGTCACTCCGCCATGGTAGTTGGAGTTCCGTGCTGCCTCCAATTCGCTGCGTGTCCTCGCTTGAAGATCTTCTTGTGCTTTGAGTGTTTTCCTGAGTTCACTCAGCTCGTCGTGCAAGGTAGGCAATGCGCGCCTTGCATGATCTTCATTCTGATGAAGTCGGTCCTCTGCATCTTGCATCCTCCTCACAGCCATTTTGCGGTACTCTTCCTCTTCACCAAGACGTTCACGAAGCCGAAGTCGTTCTTGATCAATGGCTGCGCTGTTCCCAGCTAGCCCTTGGATCTCGTTCACGGCCCGCAACTCCTGATTCTTGACCAAGTGGAATCGTTCCTGCATTGCTTGTAAGGCTTGTTCCGAACTTGCTGTGTTCGACCGGAGGAACAAGTTCTCTCTGGCATGTTCATGAAGTTCATGAGTCAGACGCTCATACTCACGTGCCATAAGCTCACCATCGCCGTGCGCTCTTGCTTCCAGCTGCACAAAGTTAGTGGCTGCTTCCGTGCGAAACACATGTAGCTGCTGAGCCAACTCCTCGGCAACGGCGTGTGCTTGACGTTGTTGAGCAGAGTTCTGTTCATCCATGCGAAACAAAGCTGCTTCATAGTCTCGCTTCATCTCCTGATTGACATTGTTGATGTGCCTCATGGCTAAGCATGCATGGTCACGTTGTCGTTCCAATTCTTCGATGCGAATCCCAGATCCTTCATCTTCTTGTTGCATCTCCTTGATCTTATCCATCAGGGTCTGGACAACTCCTTCGTACTCTTGCATCTGACTGCGATAGTACATCTGCTGCGCAAGGTTCGATGCTTCGAGCTGTTGCGAAATCGTCAGTTCCTGATAGGCATTCGGACCATCGGCTATGGCTGGCGTGGTCACCGATGACGCATCACCACGTGCAGGAATAGTGTCCAGAGTCATATCCAGATCGTCAGCATCGCGTGGTTGATTGGTAACCATCCTATTCCATGTCATGGACTTATCACGCCCACGAGTAGCCGAAGTCCTTGATCGTGCTGAAGAGCTTCTCGAAGATGATGGTCTCGACTTCTTTTCCAAGGTCTTCACTCCTTTGTCCTTGGCCCTGGACGTAGTCCGAGGTGCCTGAAAACCAGACGCTTCGGCTCGTCGTTCGGGAGCCTTGCCCGTCCTCGAACCTGTGGATGTCGGACGCGAAGGCGTAGATGCTCTTGGTAGACTCTTTGCTTTCACCTTGGGAACTGCCTTTGCAATGGCAAGCGCAGAAGATTGACCTTTGTCATCTTCCGTGGAGCTATCAACGGATTGCACCACTGTGTCATCAGCTGTTGACTCACCAACGGCTGGCGCTGCCACATCGGCACCGAAAGTCATTGTCGTATCTTGGCTTGATCCCGAGTTCATTGTGGTCGTAGTAGATCAAGTAGTCGTTGCTGTAGAAAGGCAGAGCCGCGTACGGCTGATAACCTGCGTGGGGGATTGATCTCGACTTGGTTGCTGCTCTCCCCACCAGAGCTGTAATGAATGTAGGTGTGGCTGGCTTGCACTCTCCACAGACTGGGACCCTGTCTCTCTCACACTTCCACACGTGCAATCCTATGCAGGCAGAACCGGCGGCCGTTCCTTTTGCACTCGCTGCCGGCGGCGGTTCGTCTGTGCACGGGATAGCTCTGATTGCTCAGGATAGAAGACACATATAGCACTTAGCTATGGGCATTGACTTGAGCCAAACGTTGCGTGGGCGGTCACATAGAAAGGTAAGGAGAAGCGATGCGGTGTGCGCAGCACGTCCACAAGCTTACTCCTAGAGTCGAGGGACGCGTAGCGTGCCCCCTTAGAGTCGAGGGACGCGTAGCGTGCCCCCTTCCCTTGCACTTTACATGGTCTTGCTCACAGCTCTTATAGTGACACCTTAGAACTTGACAAGGCATCGCAGTCCATTCGCATAAAGGATCATGGGACTTAGTAACTAAGGTTATTATTAGGGTAACTATACTTATAACTGCTTATTCCCCCAATTCGGGTACTTATAACCATACTTACTAAGTCCCATGATCCTCCAAGTATAAACCCTGAACCCCTTGATCTCCCCCAAAGCAGGGCCAGGGCCTTTCCAAGGACGCGCACTGGAACTTGCGCTTCGCCAGCGCCACCTGGTGTGGGACAAGGTCTTTAGGGTTTAGGGGGTTTAGTGGGGCTTAGGGGGGTTTAGGGGGGTTTAGGGGTTAAGTGGCTTGGGATTTAGGGGGTTTAGGGGGTCTAGCTTTTGTTTGTTAAACCCTGCCGGCGTTCTGGGGTTTCGGGGTTAACTCAGGGTTGCTGGACTACTTGGAGGTTCATGAGTAGTTATAACGGGGGTTATACGTCCCCCAATTTAGCTATCCGACTTATAACACCACTTAACCCCACCATGAACCTCCAAGCAGGGATCTGACGTTCAAGGCACACCGTGCAAGGCACTGAGGGTTTGAAAGTTTGGATTGAGGGCTTGGGGTTTGGGATATTGGGTTTGGGGGTTTGACTGATTTAGAGTTTCAGCTGTTGAATCTCGCATCTCGAATAATTGAGGATCTGGGCTTTGAAGATCACAAGCTTTGCGTAGTGGCGTAGTTTGACTCATTGCTATGGTGCAGCAGGCGTATCCGAAGACCAAACTTAGATGAGGAACAGTGTGACCTACAAACTTTGCTTACATTTCTTGGGGGGACTGAAACCGCCACCTGTACTACCACTTGCTGGTTTGGGGGGTCAGACCCTCGACTCCAAGAGCTGTCGAGGTATTTGAGAGTCGAGTGCTACTTCTGAGGAGTGTTGGGAACATGCTCCACAAATGATATGCAAAGTAAGGCTTTCCAGGGCTTATTGCTTGGGCACAGGGCGGAAACTCAAGCCCCTGCTCTAGTCTCCTTCAGGGCCCGGGCTATTGTCGGCAAGAGCGTCCTCCCGTGGGGCTCAGCACGGTTCTGGGTCAGGGTGTACGTCCCATGCACCTTGTACAGCTGGGCTTTCAAACGTCAGGGCTGTTTTCATGTGGGGTTCGGTGATTTCCACTTCAGGTACCCTCGCTTGCTCCAACCCCCAAGCACAAAGTCCTCCAGAAGTGGAGCGACCTCGGCTTCACAGAGATGAGATTTTCAAGCACCTTCTGCCCAACTTGGGCATTCAAACTTTCCAGGACTGCGATGACTGACACCTGTTGTTAGGAATGGGATCCAGGCTGATACAGGCATGAATGTGCGTATCGATGATGACTGTATCATACGTAGGATGGCAATGCACATGTCTTCCTGTTCCGATCTTCGAAAAGCCAGGACCCCCCACTACGAACTCCAGCTCGTCCTCGGACCATCCGCCGACCACGGCCCCTGCGAGGTAGGGCTGGCTTCGCTGTCTTAGGGTTTACTTGGAGGGTCATTGGTAGTAAGAAGAGCGGTTATAGTTCCCCTTAGTATGGGCTATAAGTATAGTTGTCCTACTTCCTACTTATAACCCCACTTGCAACTAACCATGAACCTCCAAGTAGGGACAGGAGAACGCTAGGAGTTTAGGGTTCAAGGCTTTAGGGGCTGAGGGTTTAGGGATCGGGGCCTTGAAACCTGAACCCTAAACCCGGTCCTTTGGGGCTCAAGGATCTCAAAACGAACCCTAAATCCCTAAACCCTAAATCCCTAAACCCTAAAACAATGCAGAGGGCTTGGTCTGCGGCACTGCAGAGCCTGGAATCTGAGAAGAAGTCTGGTTTCCTACCAAGGTGCCTTACTGATTTAGGTGCCTAAATAATTACCTATACTATTTGGGTGTTCCTTATTATGACAAAATAAAGTTGGCCCCCAAACCCTAGTCTAATCATTAAGGCCCCTATAGTACTCAGAATCGGAATTTCGGGTAGATGATACGATAGTGACAAAATGGATCCTTCAAGAAAAATTAGGTTCTGCGAAGTCGGTGTGCATGTGCCCTAAAGCGGGAAAACACTCGTTGACAGGCGCTTTACATCAGTATCACAAAGTCCCGCAGCCCAGTGAGTCGGACTCAACGGCACCATTTTCTATGAAGGTGGTTGCTATGGTAGTCACCCCAATCTCCACGGCCTAAAAGAAAACCCAAGCCGCGAAATCCGGAAACTCGGTACCCTTGATTTCACCTGCTTGGTGAAAGCTCACTAAGGCAAAATCAATCTTAAGCCCCCGAACCCCACATCCCACTAACGTAAAGATCCCATGAGGGCCACGAACATTCTTAACAGCTGTCAGCTGTACCTTAGAGGGAATCCGAGCTCGTGACAACCCCGAACATCCCTGAATACCTCAACTCGAGATCGCAGCACTGCCCTGAAAACTCCTCGTGGTCCAAAGCCAGCGGGTACCTCAGCGCAGAACGGCAAGTTAAGGCTTCGAAACCAAAGGGCTGCTTTCTTCTTGCATCCGGATGCCGTGACCTTTCTGGTCTTCATGTTCACTCGTATTCTGTGAAGTAGCAATCCTCTACAGGACACGGGAAGGGACAACTATTGTCACTATTCACGGAGATTTCCCCTGCCCCAGGTTTACGCAAGGATCTTCGGCATCTCTATGTGGATCCACTATACGGCTTGATATCTTTGATATTGTGGCCGAGGCTGCTGGTTTAAGTCGCGGCTCGGGCCACATTGAGCCAGATTCTCCCACCCGACCGAAAGCTGAGCGACCTGCCCTGCACCTAAATGTAGAGGGCCGAAGTAACTACCACAATTCTATTTTGGGGGCTCCTTATGATCATTACCAAGACTACTTCGGGGACTCCTTATTGCAATTACCCATACTATTTTCGGGGGACTCCTTATTATAAGTACCAAGACTGTTTTTGGGGGTTCCCCTATTATAGCCACCTATACTAAACCCTTTCCAGGTTGCAACCCTTGCGCCTAAGGCAACGTCAGGGCGTGGCCCCTGACATCTGGCAACCCTCAAGTCCTGAAACCCCTGAAACTCCACCCTAAACCCTAAAGCCTAATTTCTAAACGCTAAACCCTAAAGCCTAAACCCTAGAACCATCAATCCCAAACCCTAAACCCTCCATGTCTTCCCTATCACGACAGCCCTTCAAGAATCTCAAAAGTCGGAGTTCTTCTGACCGTGGGCCGCGCGAGCCACCGCGACTACTTTAAGGATGATGGGACTTAGTAAGTAAGGTCATAAGTACCTTAATTAATTGGGGGGGTTGTAAAATAACCCTAGTTACTAAGTCCCATGATCCTTTAAGTAACGTAGATTCCGAACAAAATACCTGGGTTGTGTCGAGAGGCTGCGTCGCTGGAGGCATCTCCGTCCAGCTGGTAGAACTTCCCGGTGCCTTCCTCACCTTCTGGCATCAAACTTTTTGGGTCAAGCATTTTTGGTTTATCAGTCCAAGGCGTTTTTGTGCTGTTCAGGGTCTTGGCGCCCCTCCGGGATGCGCATCTAGGGACTTGCCGCCAAATACCTACTCAAGTGTTTGCCCGAAGTTATACCTTCCATCGTGTTCCATCACGCTCCTTGTCAATGCTTCCAGCATCTCGGGTTGCCAGGTTATCATCCGGCCTGTGAGTCCCATCCGTCTCCCTGTGTCCACCTCCGTTTCTGCTTCTGCCAGCCTGTCTAGTTGAGGTAATGATGAGCTTGCTTGCTGCGACGACGTCTCGGACCATCGCGAAACTGGTGGCCGTTATGATAACGATGAATGTCGCGGTGATGTTGGTGGTCAACAAAAGAATCGGTCACAAATTGCAACCAGCCACGATGGATAAATCGATCCATGAAGATGCCATGCAGCTGTTATACGATCCGCGACACCCGCCCTGACGCACGGCAGCCTTCCTAACTCACAAGTTCTTCACGAGACTGTCCGTCGGACTTAGGTTTTTTTCCGCAGTCCATGCCAGGAATATCTCCCAAGTAACGAGTCTTGCACGCAAAACTTATCGAATCGACCGCACGCTTTGGCGCGGTTCGGGACGGCCTGGGCACTCATCCAACGCCCGGTCTGAAGCAGAATGGTCCGAAGTCCGATGCTTTCAAACCCTGAGCCTGAATCACGGTTCGAGGACCGACGCATTCCCAGTCCCAGTTTCCACAGCTTATTTGCGGTAGACCGCAAGCACCCGAAACCGCAGCAGAAAACTCTCACCTCCGACTAACCTCAACTCGTGCGGCTTCCCAGGCCTGACTCTTCACTTCGACGCGGGCACCTGCAACAGCTTTCCAGTTCCGAGGGTGCTGGGAGGAATCACGACTGATCAGGATCCGGCTGAAGTTACACAACCTGCACTACATCCCTGTGGTCCAAGGACCTTCAGTTCCAGCCGTACCTTCTCGTCGCGTCCCGGTGATAGAGGCTCCCTGTCAGTGCGACCGCAAAAGCCTTGCAGCAGACATGGCGGTTTACGATGTCCATGTATCGAGCATATCGTCGGCGGAAGAGTTATGAAGGAAGATGCAGACGCAGCAGGTGCCCTCGCTTCTTGGCAGAAGTAGCTGTCGCGGTTTCTGCTGCCATTTATGTGTTTACCGTGGGGTTGAAGGTGAAGGTTCGGATCTACCTCTTTGGCTGAATTCCCATAATTCACTGCCTGAGCCACCCATTCTTGTTCGTGTACATGCTATATATATACAATATGTTCAGTAAATGTCTATGTAGGCTCTGTAGGTTTCGATTCTGGACTCTCTGGGATTGCACCCTGCGGAGGGTGACAGTGTAGAGATGCAGGTCAGGGCTTGAGGCTATCGCGGAAGACAGCTGCAGACGATCGAAGCAGGGCGGTAATATAGGGGCCTTAATAATTAGAATAGGGCTTTGGGGCCCTTTATACTATAGTTAGAAAAAGGAACCCCCAAAATAGTATTGGTGGCTATTTATTTAGGCCTCTATAGTGCGTGGGATGTCCGCAACCTCGTGCAGCAACCAGAGATCCGGAGCTGGAGTTCGCATGCCGAGCTCCCAACGCAGCCCGCGGCACCGCCCTTGTCCTGATAGCCTCCAGGGGGTCTTCTCGCACGAGCCCCACTCGGTATTGACATCAGCGGGCGCCGGAATATCAACAAAAACGATATCAATATTACATGTGTGTATATATGTACACATATATACACTGCTCTTGTACGATATGCTGTTAGTCTTCAGACCCGTCCCATACACTCACCTCAACCCTTAATGTAAACCCAACTGATATGATTCTCATAGGCTTATGTCGCTACCCGGCCTGAGCGCCGCCAGAGTGGTCTTGGATGCTTCGATGCTGCTCGCTGGGTAGCTGCCTCTGAGCTTAGGGATTGTAGAGCTGAACGAACGGTTTAGGGTTTAGGGTTTAGAGACAAGCTTTGATGCAGCAATGAGGCTTCAACAATTTGGGATGAGGTCTGTCATCGTTTCTGCGAGACTACAACCAGCAAGCACCGACTGTCACCAAAGCGTAAACTCAGTTAGCCCTAAACCCTGCAAACCCCGTGCCCCCTTTCCAGAAAAAACGTGTCCACTTTCTCGCCAGAGCTCTTGAACTGTCGCAGCCGCAGCTGGCGCAATTCTCGGTACCGGGACCGCGACGTGCATGGTGTGCGACGGAAGGCTTGGGGCTTTGGGGATCGGGTCATCAATCCCTTTAGGTGAGGTCCGCCTTTGCTTTGCCAAGTCGGTGCTGGATCCTCAACGGGGTGAGTTGGCTGGTAGGAGACTTAGGTTTTGCAGTAGGTGCATATGCTCCGCGGAGGAGGGTATCTGCTGCGGGCAAGCGCTTGTCGGTTCTGGGTTTTCAGCCATGCTGACTTAAGCTGGACGGAGGCGCAAACAGGAATGCAAAGTAAAATCAGTGTACGACATCCTATGCCCTTGCAGGAAAGCGGTTGGCTCGAAGCTGCAACATGTCGTTCCCGGTGTTTAGGACAGATATGCCACTTTCCCCACCCGGACGACTTTTCGATTTTCGGCGACTCCGCCACAAACTGCGCAATCCAAATCCATAGACGGTATACGGTATGCAAACAAACTACTCGGTGATTGGCTCTTCAAGGGCACCGCGGCAATTCCTCCTTTTGCGACGAGTGACTTGCAAGCAAAGCAGCATTTTCACAGGGACCCTTAGTCTTACCCATACTGTAATAAGGACCTAATATAGCCTGTTTAAGGAAGTATAGTTCCCTACCCCCCTCCCCCCTCCCCCTTACCCCCCTAAGGGTCCCTGTGACATCTTCTTGCAGCTGGCATCTGCCTGCTTTCGCTTTCGACCTGCAGTACAGATCCTGCTGGACCACGCTCTTCATGGTCGCGAAGTGTTCTGCCCCCACGAGTTCACTTAAACATACTTTCTGAGTAAAACATCATATGCATGAGATAATTACATCTGACAGATGTACTATGTACATACATATATAACGACAAACATATGTACATGTATATGTCTATCTATATGTATATGTACATGTAAACCATATGCATATATACAATAAATATATTGAGTACACATACCCCTCGTCCAGGCTATATCGCCGGCTTGTATTCTCTTTCGAACGGCACGGTGCAGATCTGGATGGCACGGTAGTGGTGCCAGAAGTCTTTCCTTGGATATTGTGCGGAGGTTCTTTACTGCCCCTGCCCTACCGCCATGAACCTGCCGGATTGTCAGGACTGTTTTTGCCAAAGAGTCAGCGACATGTAGAAGGAGCCGTCCCCCACGGGATCAACGCCGGTTCGCTTGACCTGTATAGCTGGGTGAGGAAGTGCATCAGCAAACTTCCCGATGTGAGTTGCATCATGCTTAGATTTCAGGCAACATCCTAGAAGCTCGTCGGGGTGGGGCTCAGGGGAACATCCTTGCTAACACTGGAGCAACATGATCCTGGGCGCTGCGTGCTGGCGTGCTCGACCTGCGCGATATGCATGCATTATACCTGCAAAGTGTCACTACTTGCCATGTTCAAGCTCCGATCCGCTTGATTTCGAAGACTTCGGCAAAGACAACTTGTTTGCTGGCCGCGTGGAGGCTGCAATGTCAACAGTTTATTCGCCACATCCGTCGCGCTACGGATATGGAAGATGCTCCTATAAGTTTGCTCGTGATTAGTGCTGGCCAGATGTCGACAGACCTTTCCTATACAAAACCCGTCCAAAAGTCAAGCCGATGACGCTGCTATCAGTACTGTTAATACTACGATTACTACTACCATATATTACTGTTCGCAGGGCTATTCTTCTCTCCGTTATTGTAATTTTGCCTAGTGTTCTTATGGTTCTTCTTCTTTTGAGTACCAGTTATCAATTGTTATTGTCATTGTTCTTATTGTCACTGCTTTGAATATGTTACATGGATTGACCAGCACCCTGAAGAAACATCGGCAAGCCAGCACATTCTTCTCCGCCGCCTCGTCCCAGTCTACATCCGCAAGCGCAGCCGTGCTCTTGTAGCGCTTGTTCAGCATCCAAGACCTCAGCTGAGTCGATACCACCTAAAGGTACATCATTCTGAAACATGCAACAGTCTCGGACGCACCAGGTAAATGCGTTCTTGTCCTTTTTTGGCCCCGCAAACCTCAACGAGTCGCTTGCTGGTTGAGCCCTGAAGCATGCAGCGGATTATGCTAAAGACCCATGCAAGACATACCCAAAAGGATCAGTGGAATTGTGGTGCTCAGACCGCATGTTAACCATGACTTAGAATGCTGCTGATGATGATGAGGAGAAAGGAGATGATGAACATGAGCTTCTTCTTCTTAATGATTGGTATTGAGTTGACAGCTACAGTTTCTTGGCTGTTGTTTCTGCTGCGCCGATAGTACTGCAATAAACAGGAGCACGATACAAACTAAAAGAGGTCCTCACCGTGGAGCTAAATTCAGAGTAATCATGCGAGAAACAGCAAAAAGCTTCATTACGACGGTTACCACTTGTGCCTCATTACCCTGTTGATTTTGTTGATGTGGGTTGCATCAAGTTCTTCTGGTATCTCAGTACCTCACGGGGTTTCCCTTTCCTGTAACTGCGGTCATTGTGTTTTCAATCAGGATCATGACTCGCGCTGTTGCTCCGAGCATTGCTACTGTTGCTCGTTTTTGCCAGTTCATGGCACAGTACTGCGATGAATGCTTGTTGACACGAAGATGCCGGCTTCTGGTTGTCCTGACCATCAGTACGGCCGTTCTCGTTGCCCTCCTAAATGCAGAATGCATGTACTTACCACCCTCGAAAGCAGACGAGGATAACGACGTTCATGTTGTTGGTGGTCATGTGCTCGTCTCCATGACGGCGAATGTCAACGATGTTGTTGTTGCTGCAGAAAAACGAAGATCATATTGACGTTGTGGTAAGTAGTGATGGTGATGACGATGTTGACGATAGTTCTGCTCATGCGCTTGATGCGAAGCAGGCATCGCTACGCCCAATGCCCCATATCTTGAAGCCTGAATCTCCAAGCTGAGTGCTGCAACCGTGCGAATGCAAGCCAGCTACCACAACCCTGACCCCTTTACATGACTGAGGGCTAGATTCGGCCAGATATCCTGCTGCCCACATGGCGAGGCTTTCAACAACCCTTCTTCAATCCTAAGCCCTAAACCCATCAGACAACAGCGAAGAAAGCAAAACTCTGGCTTTCAGACGGGGCGCTCCCAATCCTCGGATCCAGTGCGGACGTCCGACCATTTTTTGGGTACTATGTTGGACCGTATTGTAGTATTCCAGGAACCCTTTACCAATAAGAACTCACTTTTTCGCAGTAGTCAGGTTTGATAATCAGACACCAAAGTGACTACTGGAGGACCTGCTGTGTCCATAGTCTACGCACATACATAATGTACGTATTTCTATATGTACATATATATATATATACACATACATAAGACATAAGACATATACACATAGATGATCATAGATGTATTTGGGACTGTTAAGCTCCTGTGTCAGCACTCACACATACACGTTTTATGGGCGGGTAGAGTGAGGGGCATAACTTCCGGGGCTGCTACAGTCAGCTCCAACGCCTGCAGCGCAACTAATACACGGGCCTTTATAGTTAGAATAGGGTCGTGGGGCCCATGTCACTTAATTATAATAGGGAACCCCCAGAAATAGTATGGGTAATTATCAAGGCCCCTATAGTATGCTTCTCATCCGAGACCCAGCCTTCTACTGGTGTGATGGCCGAGCCAGCAAGGAAGACTTTCGACATCTCCCGGGAAATAAAGTATGCAAGCTCAAAGCTGTCATACTTGGAAGTTGAGAGCTCGTGTGGCTCTGTAAGGTCACGGGCAAAACCGAAGCATGCAAAGATGCAGAGTTTGCGACCGTCGGAAGCTACCGGCAAGCTACTTTTTGTCGCATGCAAGGTGCATGTCTTACTGTCTGCAACATCCAAGCACGACTTGGGTGGTGGCAGGCCTCGGTTGTACCCTATCTAGGCCTCCAGGATTGGAACTCTATGCAGATATCGCTAGTTGGTGAAGTTCAGCACTATGCTTAAAACCGCCAGTGCAGCTTCCCTGTCCCAAAAAGGGAACACGGACGAACCCCGTGTCATCTCTTCAAAATTTCTTGCTGAGTGGGGCCTGAAGCCTATCAGCTTATCAAACTTTCTTGTCGATCTTAAACCCTAAACCCCTAAACCCTAAACCCCTAAACCTCTGACTCCTAACCCTAAACCCCTAAACCCCTGAAACTCCTAAACTCCAAACCCCTACACCCCTAACTCAAGGCATGCCAAGCATCCACGTTCGACCACTTGCCCCTCCAGACCTGCCAGCCCCAGGGATTCCGTAGATGTACGAGGACCTCTGGGGCCGGATGTTTTCAGGATTCAACTACAGGGTGTAGGGTTTGGGGGGGTTTAGGGTTTAGGGTTTTGGGGATTCAACTATAGGGGCCTTGAGAAATAGAATTGGGTTGGGGGGTATAGGGTTTAGGGGTTTGGGGGGTTTGGGTTTGGGGGGTTTGAAGGGTTTGAGGAGTTTACGGTTTAGGCTTTAGGGGGTTCTATGCTAACACGAGAAATCAAATAATCCCCTCACCTAGCCAGAAGGGTTGAGAGGGCTCCAGAGGCCTCGCTCAAAGACAAGCACATAACTGGCAAGCTCAGCGCCGCACCTGCCGGAACTTCTTGTCCTCTTCCGTTCGATCTTCCTCCTAAGAACAATGCAAAAGAGTCGGCAGTGTCTGTACATGCTATGGCAGGAAAACGAAGATGGTGAGGTGAGGGTGTCTGTGGTGTTGGCTGATAATTATGCTGGTCAGCGTTGCGCGATCTTTGTCGGGAATACTTCTTCAACACCATAGAGCACCAGAAACGAATTCAGCGTCGTTCCGGCTATCAATATTCCGCAGGACAGGCAGCACAAAGTCTGTATGAAGCGGATCAGGGCTGAGACTGTTGATTGCAGGCGTCCAGCACCAGGGATGTGAGCACAACATCTGAATCTGACTCGCGCGGCCCCTAAGCTCCGGGCATTTTCGAAGTAGTTGTGAACGTGGCACACACCTGCCGACTGTGCGACCGGAATGTTTGTCATGAAAACGAAAAGCCGTAACAATGTCAAACTGGTACGAGGTACCACACTGCAAAATGCTAATCCTGAACTGACTTTTCGAGAGACTTGAGTCTTCGCTCGGCACGAACAAACATCGTGGTCAAGGCACGCCAACCAGTCACACTAGTCATAGGTCGCAACACAGAGAAGAGTGGCTATCGAACTGCACAAGCTGTTGACAATCATCACAGGCCTTGTTTTGTAATATAGACACTCATGTTAGCCCGAAAGGTCGAAATGATGATAAGGAAAAGGCCAAAGCCTAGCAGCAAACTTCAAGCCAATGGAAGCGAAATAGACTTGCCATGGATCGGTTCATCGGCGAGTCAAATCTCGGCACTGTAGCTGTTCATAGTGTTCCCAGCTGAATTTGAAGTCGTCGGCATACTTCGTCGATCGTACCGATACGGCTTTATGTGGCGCGTTGCAAACGCACTTACCTCTTCGCTCCACCGGTATGCCTAGGGTAGAACACGAGCGGGTCCCGAATCTAAACGCAACATCCCGCAGCCAAACTCCATACACAGAGAACGAACAGTATCCCTCTCTCTCCCAGCCTAGCACAGAGTAGGCATGGTTGGAGACGAGTCCCTGGTCAGTGCCATCTTTCTCGCAGTGGCAGGATGCACAGATGATCCTGGCAGATCGAAGTCTCAAGGGTTCAAGACCAAAGCCGGGACATTCATGCATTTCACCCTTCGGCTTTGGTAGAGATTCGTGAGTTGCAGGCGATATCTTCCTCTGCTTACACGGCCCTTGCGAACGAACTGCACACGAGCAACAGGCAAGACTAGCCAAGTCAGACAGGTGCTTTACGTATACTCAATTAGCCAGACACACGCACACAGAGACACAGACAGAGACACGGAGACACAAAGACAGAGAGCCACAGAGCCACAGAGCCAGCCACACACACACACACACACACACACACACACACACACACACACACACACACACACACACACACACACACACACACACACACACACACACACACACACACACACACACACACACACACACACACACACACACACACACACACACACACACACACACACACACACACACACACACACACACACACACACACACACACACACACACACACACACACACACACACACACACACACACACACACACACACACACACACACACACACACACACACACACACACACACCCGCACACACCACACACGCACACACGCACACACGCACGCACCCACGCACACGCACACACGCACGCACCCACACACACACACACACACGCACACCCACGCACACACACACACACACACACACACACACACACACACACACACACACACACACACACACACACACACACACACACACACACACACACACACACACACACACACACACACACACACACACACACACACACACACACACACACACACACCACCACACACACACACACACACACACACACACACACACACACACACACACACACACACACACACACACACACACACACACACACACACACACACACACACACACACACACACACACACACACACACACACACACACACACACCACCACACACACACACACACACACACACACACACACACACACACCACACACCACACACACACACACCACACCACACACAACACACACACACACACACACACACACACCACACACAAACACACACAGCACGCGCGCACACACACGCGCACACACACACACACACACACGCACACACACACACACACGCGCACACACACACACACACACACACACACACACACACACACACACACACACACGCGCACACACACACACACACACACACACGCGCACACACACACACACACACACACACACACACAGACACACAGACACACAGACACACAGACACACAGACACACAGACACACAGACACGCATGCACAAAACACGGCGACACAAACTTCCACACAAGCGAACATACCCCCAAAACCATGCATCTGTTACGGCCGCGAGTTTGCGCACGTGCAACAGCAACACCGAGGAGAACTCTCCAACCCAAATGGCCCAATCCCGAAGTTTGAAGAGTGCGCCACTTCGCACATGTGCAGAGGATGGAGCAACTAAACAAGGCCACAAGAAGGAACATACGAAACATGATAAACGCGGCGTCTACTGCGGGGCCAAGGCTGTACCCCCCTGCGCCGAAACGGCTCACACTCCAATCGCTGCCGCCTTAGCCCTAAGGCACCGAAGCTAGACTATGAGCCCCGCACTGTAAAGACTCATCCCTCGCCACGAGGCGTGCCTCTGACCCTTCCACTGATGGTAGATCAAGTAGTTCTCCACCTCTTTGCTCCTGGGCCGTTACTGAAACGGTAGCAGACAGATCTTCCCAAGTTTACAGATGATCTCTAAAGCTGGCCGAGGCACTTTTTGAAGAAAGAGCCTCACTGCCAGGGCAATCGCACGGTTTAGGATTTAGGGTCTAGGGGTTTCGCGTCTAGGGGTTTACGGTTTAAGGTTTAATCAAGACACAGCAACATGCACGCTCCTCCCTGAACCTGAAGTCTCCCTTCGTGCTGCTGAACCAGGACTGCTACGCCTAGGGCCTATGAATACTCCGGTCTGTCTGTGCATATCTCTTCGGGCTCTTGTTAGTTCTTTTTCGGTTGTCTCGGTCTGCTCCATATCTTTTTTTGGCAGTTTCGCAGAGCCTTTGTCGAGTGCCTACGACCGAGGCTGCTTCGGCGTCCACGGCGTTATTCAATACAGCGGTGCTCTCAATATTGCCAGGCACAACACGATTTCTAAACCTCGCCAAGCAAGTTATCCTGCAATGCGTCTCCCCTTTGACTTATTGACTGCATCATGCCGGCTTAACCACAATGGGTGTGTCCAGGCACTTACTGTACACAGAAGCAGCTCCCGGTTTGTTTGTACCCGACTAAGCTATGTAAAGCTAAAGGCACGCTAACCAGAAAGCCTTGCCTCAACAACTAATTTCTATTCTATTGGTTGTGAACTACAAGATTGAAACTAGGCTTGAAGCTGAACCCGAGCCTACAGAGCTATGCGCACATCTTCAGCCTCCAGCACAAGTCGATGCCACCCCGCCCACTCCCGACATCCTAAACTCGAAAACCAGGAGCCAAATTTGCAGTAGCCAGCACTGCCAGAGGTGATGAGCCTGAAAACCACATTTCTTTGGTGGAGAGTTAATTTGCGTTTTGCAACTTGTGTGGCTGTGGCAAATTTCAGGTTTCGGGACAGTCTCGGTGTTTAAGCCTCAGGGCATGTAGCATCTTTGGGCGTGGCATTGCCAAAATAGCTTCCAGCACATGGGGCCAGTTTTGCTGCTAGCAGAGACAATATCAAGACGAACCGTTATAATCATAAGAACCACAATGGGGGCTTTCGATCATGATAGTAAGTCTGCCGAACGACGACCAACACTTTGACAGCGACTTCCGTCGTAGTCATCAAGTCTCGAAGTTGTGTCCATCACATTTGCGACTACCAGAAGCTAATGCATCGCTACAGCAACGACGGTAGCCGGAGTGACAATGTGACTTGAAGTCGAACTGCAGTACCACGGGATGTAAGCCCTGCTGCCTCATGACATCGAGTCCAAAGCCAATGCCAAAATGACAGCGAAGTCCAAGATTTGCGGGTGAAGTTGCCACTGAGGAATTCTTGGGGACATGCTCCTTGGACTAGCTTTCAGGTCCAAGCACTCCAGGCTGCGCGTGGATCCGATGCAGGTTGGTGCGCCGCCAACCATGTCTGAATAGCCTGTAGGGCGCGTGCACCACAGTGCATTCAGAACGGTATGTTGCATTCAGTGTTCAAGTCCAGATGGTGTAATTAGAGCGCGTTTTTGTATGACTCATTCTGGCCGTTAGGGGCGAGAACCCATGCTCTACAGTTGGCGTTCAGGGTCTGGCGCTGACCAAAGTCGAGGCTTTCTAGCTTCATAGAAGCTACGATCTTGCGCCTTTGGCAACAGGTGGGGTTCAGGCATTGCCCTTCGGGTCATGCACCGACAAAAAACCTCACTTTGAGGGCTGGGGCTTTGCAAACATGGTCTAGGCTTGCCTGAAGTCAAACCCTAAACCCCAAGCCCTAAACCCTAAACCGACAACATGACCTTCACTCCCCTCAAGTAGTAAGCGTCAACCCTCTCGGGGTTCAAGGGCCTTCGCCTGTCCGGTCAATTGTCGAGCTCGCAGAGTTTGTCATGACTGAGGAATTAAAGAACGAAAAATTAAGCTTGAAGTCCAGAGCCTCCTGAGCTAAAGAGGAAAAAAGATCGAATCAAACAGCAAGTACGTCGACCAATGTGTTCGGAGTACTTCAAGTTTGAGGCTCGCGGAAACTTTAAGAGTCGGATCAGCTAACGGTCATGGCAATTCTGCTTCGGAATTAACGAAAGAAGATGTGAATGCATGGCGAGCAGGCAAAAACTGGAGAAAAGCCAACACTTATGGAGATGCTGTAATTAGTCTACGACGGTTGAGGATGTAAGTACTGCAGTACCTGATGATCCTAGACCATGGTAATTACGGTATATTCCTTATTACTGTGGGTAATGCAGGATTTATATCATCAACCGTATGCCGAGCCGATGTGATCGTCGGAAAGGGCTTGCACGTGGAACTTCCAGGCTGGAGATTCTGTCGGGCTAGTATAGGGGCCTTAATAATTGGAATAGAGTTTTGGGGCCCGTTCTACTATAACTTTATACTATAACTACAACAAGCAACCCCCCCCCCCGCCCCCAAACAGTATAGTATAGGTAATTATCAAGGCTCGTATATTAGACTTTTGGCCTGCTGCATTTTCTCTGACTTACAGCATTGCAGCCGGGTGCAGAGGAAAGATGAACAGGAAGCAAAAACTTTGCATTTTGCAAGCTCTGTTCCCGTCACTTCTTGCGAACAGACGGCCAGAGTTAGAGCTTGTCATTGCCGCCTTTCTCGCACGATTCCTCGACGGCTCGTGGCAGTGCACGCCGTAGAAATTCTAGGGTCCGCTCCTTCACGGATGGTCGCAAGTTGTTGTTCTGCAGAACGGCATCTAACCTCAGCGGGTCTCAGAACTAGTAGCAGTACGGTTGATGATATAAACCCTGCATGACCTTAAGGGACCTAAACTATGGAAATTACGGTATATTCCTTATTATGGGTAATGCAGGATTTATATCATCAACCGTAGCAAGGTTGAGTGGTCTCAAAAAGATTCGGAAGATTCAGATTCAGAGAATTAAGTCACATGTACCTCTTCGAAGGCCAAGTGACACCGATGTTGCTTGGCTTGAAAGGCCCACTGTCACTGTTGGATCTGCACGATGTTCCAGCAGTGCTTGTATTTCTTCTGCATAGAACTGGTGGTACGCATCAGCTTCAAGGCCAGTGTTGACACACCGGATCAAGCGCGCTGTGCTTTGTTCCGATGATAGCCCAAGGCTCTCAAAGTTGCCCCTGTATATCTGCAGCTTGTTGCGCATGCCCTCCGGACTGATACAGGCAAGATATGGGCATTGCAATGCAAGGCCTCCCTCCGGATTCCCTGCTTCCCATTCGGAGAGCTTACTTCTGAGCTGCTCCTGGAGTGCCTGGGACTCCTTGGACTTCAATAAATCATGCCCGAGGTCCCCACGCACATCCGCCCCTGCGAAAGGAGCATGTAAAGAGCCTGTTTCCAGATCTAGCCGGAACCATGCTCCATCTTCTAACTCCACATAAGGCAAGCCTTCGGTGTGATGTCGGACGAGATGCTCTTGAGGGTCACCCTTTCTCACCACTTCGAAATCATCCGGGACAACTTTGCAAGATCCTCCTTGTGCAAGCGTTTCTACGAGAAAGGATGTCGAAGCCAAAACAAACTGCCAAACGGTGGAAGTCCACCCATCACTGCGCTCGCTAGCTTCCGGCGGCTTACAATTGCTCCAGTTTTCCCAGGAGCACGAGTTGGCTTTCCAAACCACCCACTGCAATGCTTTCACACCAGGCTCCCAAGCAGTTGGCGAAGGCCATGCCAACACCTCCTCGTCCCACTCTCGCTGCGAGGCATGTTGGAGATCTCGATCGCCGCCGCGGCCTCGTTTCACGCCTCCCCCAACGGTGGTCCAAATGCCATGTCCATGGCAATCCGGAGGCCTCACGAGGAAGATGTAGGTGCCACTGCTGCAGCTCCGGACAGGCACCACTCTGACGCTTTGGACCGGACAGAACAAAGAAGATGTAGGCGGCCTCCGTGGGTTAAAGGCGCTCAATACACATTGGTCTGGTGGTGGAAACCACGCACGATCAAGGTGTTGAATATATGCAGGAATGACATGCGAGAACACATATGGCCATGCCTCCCATGGTTCCGGACCAGCAAATTCAAAGACTTCGATGCTGCATGCAGCATGGAATGTGAGGCTTTCCAGATGTCTGAAAAGGCGAAGCATCTCACGGTGATCCCCAACGGACTCCGATCTCGCCACGAAAACAAAGGGGCATGGCCGCAATAGCTTCAAGAACTTCTCGGCACCGGCATCCAAGCCTTTCGACGGCTGCTGCCTTCCATTTAGGATTGTTCCAGGCTCCAGCGCTGGATCAAGAGCTATCTCCAAGAGGTGCTGCACACCTGTTAGAAGGGACATCTTGAGAACATCCTCGACGAAATATTTCACATCTCCCAAAAAGACTCCGACTGTATTTGGCTCTGCATTTGCCTGAACCTGTCTCTTCCAAGCCTTTCCTCTGCTTTTGCCACTTTTGCCGGTCATGTGCGAGTACATAGCCCGGGCACGGCCTGCGGGTGTGCTAGTTCACTCGTTGCTGGCAGCCCTCTGAGGACAGGAGCTCCAAACAGGAACCCGCGCACTGTGACACCGCCCCCTCTGTTACATACAGACAGACGTTGCCAGGACTGTTTATCATATCGGTTTTCACCGACAGTACAAATCAACGGACACATCCTGCGTCGTCATGACAGAGCTCCTCGACTCAGAACCTGAAAGTCCAAGCACGCAACCAAATACGACATCAACACATTCTCCGACGGCCTCGGCACTCCATGTCGTAGCATGCATTGGGGCAGGCAGCAAAGAAGCTAGGTCCAGGACTCGCGAATTTTCCCTTGTCCACGTGATGATGATAACGATGATGATGACGATGACGATGGAGAAGGAGGAGGAGGAGGGGGAGGAGGAGGAGGAGGAGGAGGATGAGGAGGAGCAGGGGGAGATGAACATCTGCTTTAGGCTTCAGGGTATTAGGGTTTAGGGATATGAAGAGGCTTGGCGCTGATCGTCGTGGTGATGATGGTGAGAAGGCAACACCACGCGGCCGAGGGGCATCCATGCAGCTTTGCCCATGCCTTCTCGAGAATCATGGGCCACACCTCTAGACCTGACTGGTCGAGACGATTCACTTGGAGGATCATGAGACTTGGTAAGTAAGGTTATAAGTACCTTAATTGGGGTTATAAGTAGTTATAAACAGAGTTACCCTAATAATAACCTTAGTCACTAAGTCCCATGATCCTTTAAGCAAGCACGGTGAACCAGACAGCACTCCCTGTACCGAGTATGCACCACACACGAAGAGGAATGTTCCCACTAGCCGCCGCGAGCCCCGCACAAAGCTCGCTACGCATCCGCAAACCCTACAAAGGCTTCAAACGAATAGCAGCACCTGCTAGCACTTGGAATCCTCCAATTCTGGGACTCTGTGCCTAGGGCAAGACCTCAAAGTTCAGGATGGACGCAGGCCTAGCCTTGCCTATGTGCGAAGAGCACCGTCCAAATGAAGATGGCCTACTCAACCTCTTACGAATAGAAACCCTTGTAGCGCCCTCCATCATGACCCTTACAGTAACCCTTCTAATGACCCTTAGACCCTTATAGAGTAACACTGATAAAGACATCCTCAACAGCACTTGCGCTTCATTTGGACTCTGCGAAGCCAAGCAACCGTCTGAGTCGCAGCAGGACGCAAAGGCCAGGCGACGGTCATGACAGATGGGAAACCTTCTATAATCACTTTTATCTTCATTGTTGTTTTCTGCTTCTCATTCTGCTTATTCTCTTATTATTCGCCTCGGCCACGGCCGAAGCGGTCAGAGACCCTACAGCGATCATCCTATTAACCCCACTCCATGACCCACCCCTGCCTTTCCAGTCCGGCGACCCCCTTCCTTCCTTCCCTCCTGTGGACCCAAGCCAGGTGGTGAAGTCTCGTGTCCTCTGAACAAGGATTTTGCGCCTTCCCCCCTCGCCCTACACCACGGTGCTGCCTCTGCTCTCTGCTTGTTTTGCAGGTCGCTCAACGGCCTTTTTCAAGCGACGGCTTCGGGGTTGAAGAAACAACAGCCCAGCAATTCGTCTGCCCTCTTCACTTGCTGCCGGGCCGAGGCGGACGACGTGATGCGTTAAGACTTCTTGGTTCTGTTGTTATCACCAGTGTCATTACCACTACTGATGTCACTAATTATTTTGTTAACTATGATTGTAATTGTGTTTTTGATATTTGTTATGGTTAAGGCTTCTCCTATGCCAATAGACATCTTGCTGAATGTCCTCTCTGGAGTGTAGGCATGGGCTCTCTTTTGGAACCTCGCGTTTCGGACTCAGGCTATCAGCTCCAGATGGGACAGCTGGAAGTACGCTGGACAGCAGAACTCCGCGTGAACGAACCGGTGCACTCATGCAAGCATGGATCGCTTGTGCATCAATCTGAGTTGCAACCATGTATACATACGCATGTCCCACTCAAGAGGTCACTTATAATGTTCTTTGATGCCGAACAGTTGAGTTGTGTCAGCATATCACTCTGATGTATGCAAGGTTGGACGGCTCTGAAGTTGCCGGGTAATGTAAAGTAGGCTTTGCACCTCAGGAATGGAACATGTCTCAAAGCGACCTGAAGCTTTTGCGGTTCAGGGCCATTGATGAAGTAATGCCGTACGGCTGGTTCGAGCCTCGAAGATGCAAGGTGAAGAATGATTCGGAGATTCTGGGCATGCAAGTGCATAGATGTTTGGGTGTATGGAACATGATGTCCGTCGGGTTCACTTTGCGCGTCGACTTTGGTGCCCGTGCGCAGCAGGTGGCTGCTCCGTCTTAGTACTCTTGTCGGGCTGGCTAAAGCAAGGTACAAGAATTCGGCAGGCGGGAGATACACGATACAACTGGTTGCAGAATCTCGACAAAAATGAAGCCAAGGGGCAACGTATCCACCAGCACCTGTGTACCCGTACACAGCATGCTGTCTGTGCCAACTTTCAACTAGTGCAAACAAGATTTGTTTCGAAAGACTGGAGGAGAAGTCGAAGTCACAGTCAAAGCTCTCCTGCAATCAGCACCATCTGCTCACAGGGTCCTTTCGCGCTAAGTGAGAAACAGTTAGTACCGGACACCGTGCTACATGGACGTCCCCGCCCTCCCTACTTCGAAGGACTGAGGTATAAGCCTCGTGGACTTCTCCACCAAGTGGCCCAAACCCATTGCGATCCATCGTAGACGCGAACTGCGTAGACTCCGGAGGGAGACGGGCTCTCTACCTTCACCGTTCAGGGTTTAGGGGATTTAGGGTTCAACAAGTCTAGGGGTTTAGTGTTCACGTACGGATGAATGAGAGGCATTCATGGAGACAAGCGTATGTAGGGATAAAATGTACAAGGGTGTGTGTGTGTGTGTGTGATGGTGTGTGTGTGTGTGTGTGTGTGTGTGTGTGTGTGTGTGTGTGTGTGCGCCCCTGTGTGTGTGCGCACGTGCCCCGACTGCGCACCTTATTCAATGCCATGCGGCTGGGTAGAACATCTTTCGCAAAATCTCAGGCCATTCTGCCACGACGGCGCAGATACTGATAAACCAGCAATCACCAAGTCCTCCCTGCTTGATGTCATCCATTTCCTCACGCCACTAATGTGCAAAAGAGACATGGAGAAACTAATTGATGTGCATCTGGTCCCGTGCTACCGGGTTCCGTAGACATGTTGGTTGGCTGCCATGGAACTTGCTTTCGTTGCATGTGCGACGTGGCAGGGCGGTAGGAAACCGTCCACGAATTACACATGATGTAAACTGCAAGGATCCATGGAGGATCTCCATGAACAACCCTAAACCCTAAACCAAGCTTGATTGAAGCTCGGAGCCGCCAGCCATGTAAATGTAGTCGAGGCTCGAAACCATCCTTCACCAGCGAGTGCCTTGAAGTGAGCAGAAGCCATGTCAATGTCTCACACCATGCTATGCTGCGGGCAGTGCGACCCCGAAAAGCTAGAGCCCAACTCCTTTCAGATCCACATGTCCCATGCCACGGAGATAGGCACTAGGTGCCCTTGGTTAGGTTCAACCCTAAACCCTAAACCAGAGACCATTCTGCATGATCTATCGGGGGTCTCTGGTCCCTAAGTTCGCCAACCTCCGAAGAAACGCACATCGAATGTCTTTTATCTTCGTTGCAGCCGGAGGACCCGGCTGGTGGGCGGCCCCATCCAGTAATCTGGAGGCAGGGGGGGAAACGTGTATCATGGTAGGACTCGTCTTCTTGCTCTTCGGGTGAGAAGTAGTTTGCTTTGTTTTTACATAGAATGGAAGTGCACATGACATGATAGCTTTACCTGACAACACGACACGAAGCACTGTGTTTCCAGGTCGAACTTCAGCTGCGTCTTCTGGGCTGTATGCTGTCCAGCTTTGGCAGGGGCAACTGCTCTATCTGTCTATGGTCTGGGAAAGGTGTGCCCAAAGGTCTAAAGCGAAAAGAGCACAGTTAGAAGTATCCTGTATGCATTCTGATGAGCCGGACTTGTCTGAAAAAAATGGTGGCTGCAGAGGTGTCAAAAAGGCCGCAGGGGGTGCCAAACATGCACAGGCACATCCCGCCGTTTTGGGTTTCTATTCACGGGTTTTTCCGTGTCCTTGCGAATGGAAACCCATTCTCCGGAGCAACCCACCTAGGATTCCAGGATGACTGGGCGATGTCAGCAGGCAGGCTTCCGCGAAAGGAAATCGAAAGCACTCTCTGCTTCAATTGTCCTGTTCTGCTTCTTTGCTCTCTTCTGCATCTCGAGATGGCTCTTCACCCCAAAAATCCTGGCCTCGCGCACGGCGCGTGTGCCGATGGTGCTGCTGTTCGCAGGGAACTGAGGATCCACGAAGAGGCGACCTTCCGCCAGAACTCCGAACATCCTACTCCTTGTCCCGACTGTATATTATAGTATATTATTACAGTATATTATCGTATATTATGGTATATCATAGTATACTATAGTATATTATAGTTCAGATGACGGTAGTTGCAGCAACTGCCGCTGTTCTTGTGGTGGCTGTTGCCCTAGCTCTTGGGGTTACTGTTGAACTGATACTGTCATCGCGATGGATATTGCGTTTCGTGCATCCTAGACTGTGAAACGCTACAAGCGGACGACAAACTCTGCAAGGTCGGCTATCATCCCAAACGCAAGAATTAGTTGCAGCAGTGGATGAGCCGCTCTACCGAGCATATCACAGTCAAGCTGAGGTAGGAATTCTGTATAATGTCAAAAACGCTGACCAACCAGCTTCAGAGGGTCGACCCTGACGCAATATCGTGGCCTTAACAATAGGGCTTTGGGACCCATTATACGACGTACAATTCTAACAGGAGCCCCGAAAATAGCATTGGCCCCTATAGTATCCGTGGCCTGCGAGTACAGCATTGATGTTGTCGACCAGCTCCTTTGCAGTTTGCCGGTTTCGAGTTTAGCCCTAAACCCCAAACCCTAAACCAGCCCTTCTTAGGGATTTGGCCTGCGTCAGATCGGATCTTCGAGGTTTTGGCTTCGGAGTTCAATCCTTGGGGCGTGGGATCTTGAGTTTCAGGCTTTTTGTATGTGAGTTTGAACCAGTCTTAGGTTTGGCAGATCGATCGGATGAAAGTCTGAGGGTGTCAAAGTCAACCCTAAACCCTACACCCAGGCTCATGACATGCTGACACCCTGTTTGCTGGCGCACCTTTGGTTTCGGATCCTTTGCCAGTCTCACGTCCTGGCAGACCTGCAACGCAAACCTGTAGACATCGTATAGGCTTGAGTGGATGTGTATACTTACCCGCGTTCATGTATCTTATATATGTGTGTGTGTTTGCAGGTATGCAGGTAGGCATGTAATGTAAGGTATGCATGTACACGGACGGTATGCATGCATGCATGCACGTGTATGTTTATATGCGCACGAGCCTTACATCGCCGCTTATTTGGATAATTGCATGTAGGGCATGGTTGCTCATAGTCTTAAAACTGTCACCGACAATTATTACCTTACACAGCGAAGGCCCACTTTCCATCTCTATCTACTTAGGACCTTATGCCTACTGCCCTGACGACTAAGATTGAACTGTCGACCTACTTCTCAGCCTTCACTGGTAACAGACTTGTCGCAAAAAGAAGACCTCGGGGACCCGAGACCCTATAGCTGACTGGTGCTCCCTCGCCACCAAGAGGCTCCCGCATACCTTAATTTCCGATTATACCTTCAACTATAGTAGGATCCCGAATATGATTTAAGGAATATTCCTCAATTAAAAACTTGAGGAAGGAATATTGGAGTCTCTCTGGCCATGCCGAGTCGCCGGTCCATTCAGGTAGGTGTCGACCTTTTGGCCCTGATGTGCTCCTGGGGTCTGGGGGTAATTTAGGGGCCCATTATACTATAGCTATAATAAGGAACCCCCCAAAATAGTATTGGCAATTATTAAGGTCCCTATATTACACAAACACATCCCTGCAATTACAACAAAACGCGCCAGAAAAGCTACTGCAGGGTGAACTCTGCAGTGTGTTCAGTGTTGACGGTAGCTGTGCTGCTTGTGGCGGCGTTCCTGCTATCATTGTCAATTGTTGGTCGATGTAGTGATGGTGGTGCTGTCGTCACAGTCTGAAATTTTGCCCGCTAGCTTGTTCTTCGTCATCGTTGCTGTCACTGCTGCGTCTCCACGACGACCGAAACGCAAACACAAGAGTTCTGCTTCTTGAAGGTAACATGATCACTGGTGATACTCTTCTTGCTGCCGTCGCACCGGGCCCGAATAAGAGTTCATTCGATCTCTAGACTCCTTTAACCCCACGCCGTTACCTGAAGCCTAGGCCCTAAGCCCACGATGGAACTACGCCATCGCCGTGCCCAGCGTCGGCCAAATATCTTCTTTGAAGAGTCGACCTGGGGAGATGGAAAGTGTGATGTGGACACAGGGTTTCGGGGGCATGCTCTATGATATTAGACTGTAGTCATACACATACAGGGACTCAAACTTGCCCTTGGTTAGTAGGGAATGGAGGAATGGGGTACAATTTTAAGTACTATTACTACCATTCCTCCATTCCATACTAGCCAAAGGTAATTCTAAAGCTACTTGGTTAGACTGTTGCGGGTTCTTCAGACCAATGGGTGTGGTCGGAGCCCAGTCGGAAGGGTCCCGGGTTTCCGTTCCTTTCGTCAGTGGTCTGGGGTACATATGTAGTTACGAGTTCTGCACGTGTTAATGTGCTCACATGCATAAAGACGGACCAACCAGAAATATGGAAAAGTAGATACACTGGCAAGCAGATAGAACGAGAGATGTACACGGGCTTACGAATCAGGCGCTGGGAAGTCCGGAGCATCCAGGTGGGAAAGGCTCGATTCTACAGCTCAGCCAAAGCACCTGAGTTTCAGCGAGCGGATTGGGGCCAAAAAGGCCGGCAATCCTACATGAATGGGCCCGTGTGCTAGGTCAAGTAAGCCCTTAAAGTTAAAGCTCTGGCAATATGCACCTGTCCAAGCGAGCGCGCCCAAAAGGCGGTGGATAAATGATCCGGTGAATCTGCATGCAACCTGCTAACCTGGTCTCGGCGCATGTTGTGCAGAAAAAGCAGAAATCCACCAAACTTGCAGAGACCGAGGTCCAGGATCAATCACACTGCTTCTGTGCTTCTAAAGCCAAGAGTCACAAACCTAAAGAAGACCTGCATATGGCTGTAGCAGCACATCTTCCTAAATCACACCCTGGCAAAAAGTGCAGCTCTCACCCCTGTTTCCCGACCAAGGCACCTTATCCCCCAGCTCGAGAACCTCTTGGCATTCCTCCGAAACGTAAACTGACGGTTGCGTGTGTGTCGCTTGCAAGCACTTGCCAGACACACACCTTGTGCCAGCAAAAACGTTTGGGCAAATGCGGCTCATGGCTTGCCAACCTCACTGCAGATCGAAAACTCTCTATGTGGCGTGTTGGAGGTCCAACAACAGAGTACCGGCATGGAAACTCGCGTGGCCCGCCCACAGCTGGCAAAGACTGACCTCAAAACCTACATCTCGTTGCTCTTGAAGTCTACCCTAAACCCTACAACCCTAAACTATAGTCCTCGACACTGGCTTCGTCCTCTGTCTTCCGCTCGTCCATGAACTGACGTTTCGGCTTCCGGTGAGAAAAATCACGAACCATGAAGTATTACAAAGTAGTATCCGCATAACACTAAGAATAGTAATTAACTGTAGCACCCATCGTCGTCGCAGTGGCAAGAAGAATTGCAGTTATAGGTACTATAGTCACAAGTAAGGTGAATTAAATCACAGCAACCTCTAAAGTGCTCGTGTACAACAACATTAACATCATCAACATCAGCCACAGCAACAACCCCACCAACACCAATACCAATACCAACACCAGCGGCAACAGCAGCAGCACCAGCAGCAGCGGCAGCAGCAGCAGCAGCAGCAGCAGCAGCAGCAGCAACGGCAACAGCAGCAACCACAGCAACAGCAACAAATGCGCAGCCCGCGTGTCGAGACCAGTGTGGCAAGCAGAGCTTGCTAAACAACGTTTCTTGCGCAGCTCGAGACATCCGCTCGGCACATCGCGGTGTGAACCAGGTTATAGGCATGAAAGGATCTGTGTGGCTTAGTTCGAGGATTGACAAAGTTCACAAACGCCAACTTCTCCAAGCCCAGAAAACACAGATCACACCCGAAGCGCCCAGAAACCATCAAGCATTACTTGGAGGTTCAGGGGTAGTTATAAGTAGGGTTATAAGTTCCCTAATTTGGGTTATAAGTATAGACCTCCTGATTATATCTGTACTTATAACTACCCATGAACCTCGAAGTATATTCCCTTAAGTCAAGGGGAGGCGCAGCGCTGTGGCGATAGCCGACCGACTTGGGCACCTTCTTCTTGTAGGCCTCTTTCCTTCATGTGGGTGGTTGTCAAAATTAGCGTCCCTTTTTGGGTCCCTATTACAATACGGCACCTATTATGTAGGGAAACCAAAAAAGGACCATAATTTTCACAACCCCCCATGTCGACAAATTGGACATGTGTGTCTCATAGCGGAGTCTATGCATGTGGATGCATGTAGTTATAACGGAGGTTTAGTTGAGATGAGGCCTGTTGAGGCAAGAGCATGGAATGAAGCTAGAGTCAGTCAGATGTAGAGACAGAGGTTACATGAACAGATAGCCACAACACCTAACGAAAAGTCGAACCTACAAGTACCATACCACAACTTCCCTAAACCCTAAACCCCGAACCCTAACCCCTAAGCCCTAAACCTTCTCAACTGTCAGCCCAGATGCGGATCAATCTTTGCCAACTTCGCGAAGAGCGGGTCTGCGCGAGCAATGTCCCAAAGCACTTCTTTCGGAGTGTGGACGGTCACCCCCCACTTTCCTTGCAGGCCGATCACAATATGGTATACTATAGCAAAGTATATTATAGCATATTACAGCATTATAACTTATAACTTTATAACATAACAAAGTATAATGTAGGTGCACAGGCAGTGCCGGGCAAAGGCAAGTGACGTAGACACAAAAAAGTAGGTAACGATGGAAGCAGCAGAGCAAGTTTGCTCCTGGTCGGCTTAGGCTGAACAAGAAGGCACCTGGGAGTGTTGCGACAAAGACTCCCATCACCCATGCGCAGTATGGCATCGTGACGCCCCAAACGGTGTCATCGAGCTCTTTGGTCCTGCATAGTGACTTAGGAACACTTGAGACTACTCTGTCTGCCGCTGTGGGCCCAGGCAGAAGCATTAGATTAGAGCTAAGCGGCTATACAATAAGCCTACGCAATACACAATATTACCAGGTTGCTGGCTGAGGCAAAAAATGAACGCCGGCGCTGAAGCGATGATCTCACAGAACTGCCATCAAAGCAAAGGCTGCATGAGGTTGAGAAGTGCGAAGGCGCCCTAAACCCTGAACCCTATAGGGTGTAAGGCACCTATACCCTAAACTCCTAAACCCTGAACCCTAATTCGCAATTCTCGGTTGTCCTGGCTTCTTTTGGAATGAGCTCGAGCTCGCCTTGGCTGCTTCGGAGTGTCAGCCATTTCAAATTTACTCCGTAAGCCCGACCTGGACCCTTCAGAATCTGCCTTTTAAGGATTTACATTAGGAATTCAACATGAGGAGCCCTAGAAAACGTAGGTTCTTTAGGGTCCAGGTAGGCCCTAAAGCCTAAACCTGCTTGTTACGACGACTTGCTTAACTTCAATATGGGTGGTTCTCAAAATTAAGGTTCCTTTTTGGGTCCCTATTATAGTACGGCACCTAATATTTAGGGTTCCCCAAAAAGGGGCCATAACTTTGACAACTACCCATATTGACCAGCCGGACAGGAGCTCGCTCCAAACAACGAAGGTAATCATGTTTCTGATCGAAACTTAGACTCGGGATTTGAGGTTTAAGGGTTTACCAAACCCTCCTTGTACCCTCAAATAGGGGTATGTGGTCCCAAATAATGGGTACTTAGGGTCTAATAGAGGGTAGACGGAGGGTCTAGGTAGGGATCACGAATCTCACAAGAAGTGGGTGCTCACCATGATTTGCAGGAGACTTGCGCGGTGCTCGTGTAGTAACACTCGGGACTTTATGTGATCTGCTTCCTCGCGTCAAAAGCTGCAAGGATCGCCCCACAACCTCCAAACCTGAAAGCCCCCAAACCCCTCAACCCTAAACCCTACACCAACTTCATGATCGGGCCGTGGTTCTGACCGCTGTGGCCGTGGCCATCGCCACCACGATCGTAACCGTCATCCTAAGCCCCCTAAACCCTAAACCTAAACCCTAAACAAAATCCTAAGCCAAGTTACCCAGCAGCTTGCGTGCCTCGACCAGACCTTCGTCCCACTGCTCCTCACCAAGGGTTCGAGGTGTGGGATGCTCCGATTCCAGGTGTTCTCAGAGTCTAGGCCTTACGCTTAGTTTCAGTGATTCAACTTATATCCAGAAGCTCATCTCAGTTTCCTGCCCCGTGTGTGAGCTTGCAGGCATCAGGACTATGGCAACTTAATTGCTGTGGTCCTTGCAGTCCAATAGGGGCTACTAGGGGCGAGGCGAACATAAAGTATATGACTCGCCGCGGTTATCATTCAATCAAGGGCCGACATAAAGTACACAGCCTAAAACCCCACAGGGATTGAGACTCATTCATGCAGGGTTTTGGACCAGGCAATGTCGCTCCCCGAATTGGCGCCACGCCCAGCCTACACAAACGACGAGGCAACTGAAGCGGTAACCGGCAACAGTTGCAGTAGTGCCTGCAGTTACCGCTATCAACATCAACATGATCATCGTCATCATCACGATCATTATCATCATCATCATCCTAGCCTGAGGCAGACATGATTCCGACAGTGATAGCAGCAGAGATCACGATCATCATGCCATGACTGCAAAAATTGCTCGGCCTCCTTGTGACTTTCCACATGAGAAACCACGCAAGTTTATAAGCTGCGAAACGCTAGGATTCCAGATAAATTTCAGTCCGAACTGGGGCCAAGAGCGCAAGACCTGCGTGCAAGGTAACCTTGTAGAACCTCACCAAATGATCACGCATGGGGGCAAAACCAAAACCAGGAAAACTAAACGTGGGAGCCTCGCCGTCTCGATCCACATCTGCAAAAGCCTGGTGCGGATGCAAAGGTGCTTCTTATGCGCAGTATTCCAGAATCCACACTGTAGCAGCTGCCGCCTTGTGGCTCAAGGCTCCAAGCACTCCCATGAACCAGCCAACCAAGAAGACCCCAAACACTTACGGATCCAAAGACCTGTGCAGAATGAAAACAGCCCGGAATCCGAAACCCGCCACCATTGCGCCTTCGCACGTTCAATCCAGGACCTATCCAGGGGTTTAGGGTTTAGGATTTACCCCCAACCTGAATAACCTACCTTTTTAAGGGCTTATATAACGAAATCATAGTAAGGATCTCTAAAGAGGTAGGTTAAACAGCGTTGAGGTAGTTGTCAGGGTTTATTTTTTGTGGGCACTGCTATCCATGGAAGATGGCCTTTAGAAAGGGCCCGGGGACTCGTTTTTTTGCATCCGATGCGTCTCTCCCCTAAACCCGCCCAAACCCCTAAACCCTAAACCCTAACTCCTAAACCCTAAACCCTAAACGCCTAAACCCTAAACCCGCCCAAACCCCTAAACCCTAAACCCTAACTCCTAAACCCTAAACCCCTAAACCCTAAACCCGCCCAAACCCCTAAACCCTAAACCCTAAACCGGCGGTTGTTCCTCCGGTCTTCTACCGAAGTGCGAAGGCCTCGGAGCACTGGTGATCACTTCTATGGTCATTGATATAATATTATCATACTATTCGTCTTATATAAGATTATCATTCTTATATAAGGTTATCATACTATTCTTAATAAGATGATCATACTAATCTTCTTATATAAGATTATCATACTATTCTTCTTATGTCTGTTCTTGGCGAACTGCTGCAGATGAGATCTACGCCATGTGCCTTGGGGCTCTAGAAGATGTCGGTGCAACTTCTTTTCGCTCGGTGAACAGGGTAGCCCCGCAGCCCAGAAAGCCCTCTCATCCTTTTTTGGTTTAGGGTTTAACGTCCAGGGTTTAGGGTTCAGGGTTTACGGCCCCGAATCCCAACAGCTCCGATGCTCCACGGCGATGAGGCCTTGATATCCCCAGCCCGATGCTCAGACCATCATGCAAGCCAAAAGCTTCAAACCTCTTACACAACTCCACCAGCACTACGACACGACGACGACGACGACGACGCAACTACTACTTCTTCTCCTCTTAGCCGCCCCACTGTCCCATCATGTACAGTGCAAAGCGAATCTTCTCCCGAAGCAGCCGCACAACCCCTAAAATCCCACGGCGTTCAACGCCCTGCCTCACTACGGGGTCGGTGTTCTCCTCCACCTGCTGGGCCTCATGCAAGATTTGCCGTTTAGGATGCATTAAACCAATTGGGCTGGTTTGGGTTGAAGGCTTAATTTCACAGTCCAGGAACGGAACCAAGTTTTGCAGCTCGTGCTGTGTTAGTGCGGTGTTTGCTACCATTTTACTTGCAGATCGTACGGCTTTGATGTGCTCTATGATTACCTGCCTTGTTCTGCTGTGCTCGTTATGTTGGTTGCCCCGCAGCGCCTATACATTTAGAAGGCTAGGGATGCGGGGTATTGGGTGCCTAGGCTTTCGGGGCGGGTTTGCGGTTTGCATTCTACACGTCGCAAATCCCCTGTTCCTGGCAAACGTGGAGACACCCTCCTACAGCTTGCATACGTCGTCACCGGCTTTCTTGGATGAGCCTGGAAGGCGAACAAACTCAAAGTGAAGCCTAAACCCTGCATGACATTTTGCAGTTTATATGCAGGGTGCAATGTGGTTGTACGGCACAGACAGTACACAGCGCAGTAGCATGTGGCACATGTTACATTCATAATTAAACATGTGTATGTATATATATATATATATAGACGTATATACGTCTATATGTGCGTTATGGTACCATGTAGTTTTAGCACAAGGTTACGCACTCGACCACCCCGGGCCTTGCTCTCCGCCTCTTCGTTGCCGGAGTCTTCAGGAAGTACTTCTTCCTGGCTCGGAGGACACTTCTAGCCGAAGTCCGAGAACTAGTAGAGGGGTCCTTTATGGGTTACTGTAAGGGATCTACAAGGGATAGTAGGCACCCTCCCCAAAAATAGTATAGGTAATCATTAAGGCCCCCCCATATGATGAAGTCGGGGCATGTGACAAGAAGGATGGAAAGTATCGTCGAGTAGCAGTAGCAGAACCAGCAGAGGTGGTGGCATAGTGACAGCAGCAGACTCGGTAAGAAGACGGAAGGCGGGAGCAGCAACGAGAGAGAGTGAGAAAGAGAAAGAGAGAGTGAGAGAGAGAGAGAGAGAGAGAAACAGAGAGAGAGAGAGAGAGAGAGAGGAGAGAGAGAGAGAGAGAGAGAGAGAGAGAGAGAGAGAGAGAGAAACAGAGAGAGAGAGAGAGAGAGAGAGAGAGAGAGAGAGAGAGAGAGAGAGAGAGAGGAGAGAGAGAGAGAGAGAGAGAGAGAGAGAGAGAGAGAGAGAGAGAGAGAGAGAGAGAGAGAGGGAGAGAGAAAGAGAGAACTCGAGGCGGTCTTCATCTTCGTCGCTGCCGTTTCCAGGCAGTTCGTCGTCGTCGTCCTAGTAGTCATCCTAAAATCAGTAGAAATACTGATGGCACAAAAGGGCTGGTACAGAAGCCGCCTTTTTCGATTCCTTTTTCCTGGCCCTGGAACATTGCAGAATCGTCCAAGGCATCGTAGCGGCATTTTAAAAACCATAGGTTTTGTAAACGTTTAAAAAAGCCGACGCATCTTCTGAAGCTAAGCTCCCGTGTCGAATTGCACACCTTTTACACGTCACCTGGCTCAAGTCCCCCCAAGTCCAGTCGTATGCCAAACCACTCCCGGAGCTCCACGATCCGAAAATGAGGGCAAGCAGAAACATGGAGGTATTTTCTTCATTTCAGTGCTTCGGAAATGCTTCGATCGTGGCCGAATACCACAGCATAAGAACCAAGCACGGTACACCAGAATACAGAACCTGAATCCAGAGCACAAGCTCTGTTCCAACAGCAGAGCAGAGCAATCTTCAGTTCGACCGCGAATAATTCAAGATCCCAAGAAGATTGAGTGATTGAGTTCCGTTCAATCGAGCCCGGAGGACCAGCAGGTGCTGTTTCCTGGAACCTTCAAAAACTGAAACCTCAAGCCCTAGAGCCTCCGACATCGAAAACTCTGAAATGTTCTAAGCACCGAATGCCCGCCCCATGTAATACACGGACTTTAATTAGAATAGGGCTTTGATGTATATTATGTAGGTAATTATTAAGGCCCCTATAGTATCAGCACCGGAAGACCTGGGGATAGACATAGGTCCACTCTTCCGCAGCCGCGGCTTCCTCCTCCTTGGCCTTGGCTTCATCCTGTGGATCGAGACCTGGAGGGTGAAGCAACGGTACAGCTCCCCTGTATGTATATGCATGTGTATATGTGTATGTGTACGTGTATGTGTACGTATACAAATATATGCATGTATATATATATATACACACATAACCACATCATACATGTGCACATGTATATATCGATGTTGACACCTACAGATATACGTATTTAGATGTATACACACACACACACATAACAAGGCATATCTGTACACACGTGCATGCATCTTTCGCTTAAACACAGGTGTACCTGATCGACAAACATAGCATGTATGCAGAAATAACTGAACGAATAAACTAATACACGACGGAAGACCCGTCCTGGCCGTCATAACTTCCTTATGCAGGCTTCTTCCCACGACATCGTCATTGTGTACATGACCATGTAACACAGGCGACATTGCACAACAGATGTTTACACAGATATTGAGCTATTGAGCAAGCACATCAAGACTAAAAACACTACAAATGAATGCAGACATGCAAATGCATGTTGTTCTCGATCGTTCTTCTTACTTGTAAGTCTTAAGAAGAAATCTATGTGTGCAGGCTACATTGAACCGTGCCAGTGCGCGTAGGTCCAAACAGCTGATTGTGATTCTATGTAAAGATTACAAGGCGGCCTGTGGCTGGGTAGATGACGACACTCCATAAGTGCTAGTTACATCTTACGAACATGCCAAACATCACAGACACATACATGTAACCAAGCAGCAAAATACCACCTTGGCGCTTTCACTCTTGCGGCTGTTCCTACATAAGTACAGGATAGCGGTGCATTCGATGTTGTTGTGGCAAGATCTACAGGCTAAGTAATAGAAAGTTCATACAGTAGAGCAGAGCTGTATCGGCCCGAGATTGTCGCTGCAGTCATCTGTCAATGTGTATGTAACTGTATGTATGCATGTATTTATGTATGTTTGTATGTATAGGCACAGACATATGTCTGCCGTTATTTTGCCATGTCTCATCTTGCCGGTCAAAGTTTCCTGAATATTCGTAGACCTTTTCCTGCAATATTGCATAATTCTGCATTCTATAACCAGTATGCATGTATCCATGCATGTATGTAAGCATGTCTGTATGTGCATGCTGTCGTGCATCGCGCTGACGGAAGCTTCAAACACGCACACCGAAAGCACGCGCAGATACACGCAGAATGACGTCTCTCTCTTTCTCTCTCGCTCGCTTGGTACTACTACTGTTACTACTGCTGTTCCTACTGCTACCACTACTACTACGACCACAACCACAACTACAAGTACAACTACAACAACAACAACGACAACGAACACAATAACGACAACAATATCAATAGCAACAGCAACAGCAACAACAACAACAACAACAACAGCGGCAACAACAGCGGCAACAACAACACCAACACAAAACAAAAAACAAAGACAAGAACAGCAACAACAGCAGCAACAACAACAACAACAGCAACAACGACAATAACAACAGAAAGATCACGAAAATCATCCAACATGTAAAAATGTAAGGAAAATCGGTTTTCCCGAGTAATTGCTTTCTTTCTGAAAACCTAAGGAAATGACACGGACGCCGTAGGAAAATTGTGTTTTCCCCAGGAACAAACAAAAAAAACCTCAGAACATGAGACAGAATCCGTAGGAATATAGCGTTTTCCCGAGAAACCACCAAGCAAAACAGAAGGAATGAACAACAAATCCGTAGGAAAGTAGTGTTTTTCATGTCGAGGTATACGACTTTTACATCGACGCGTGGACGGCAGCCAGGCTCGCCGTAGGATGTTCCAAGCTGCCTTCTTCACACTGTAGTAGGGTTTAGGGTTTGGGTTTTAGTGTGTTCACTGGAGGCACTGCTCCGTCGAGTGAACCTTCTGCGTTGGTTGGGGGTTCTGGCTCAGGATGCACTCTCCAAGTGTCTCCCCTTATCTTCGTGTAAGGGGCTCGGAGACAAGGTGATATTACACAATAATATGTTACCTTAATTACACACGGCCCCGATGCTCCACCTTGCGACACAGGTTACACCTCGAGGTGCCTGGCAGATATCTCGACGCCCCAGCGCCAGCGCCTCCTCCCCCCAATTCGCCCTAACCCCCAGCTCCAACAGCAGAAGTGCCTGGTCGCTTGCACTGTTTCGGCACTGTGGCATCGCCCTCGGTGCTGGCACCGCAGCCCATGGCAAGACAGCGGTTCGAGATACAAACCAGTGACAAACCCAGAGAGCTTATATCCTCAGCACTAAACTCCAACCTATGTCTATCCTGAACCCTAAACCCTAAACTACTATAACTCGTAAATTCGGACTTTCAGTCTAACTCCAATGTCTAAACAGCCGAAGGCCAAGCTTAGACGGCGGCGCAAACTCGACTAATAAATTCAAGGCTTGGGAATCTTGGTTCCAGGGTCTAGGTTAGCTGTCTAGGGGTGGGTTTAGGAAGAAGTTTGGTCTTAGGATTCGGATGGTCTGGGGGCTTTCACCCTAACCTATTTGGGAGTTTCCAAAAATAGGGGTACCTTATTTTGGGGTCCTGATACTAGGGATCCTACTATTTAGGGTCGTATATTAGGTCCCCTATTTTCGGAAACTCCCATTTCTTGCCCGGGTCATCCTGGCTCTGGGAAGTGAGGTGTTTTGAAGATCAGTGCTACGGTTGATGATATAAATCCTGCATTACCTTAAGGACCCTAAGGTATACTTATTATGGGTAATGCAAGATTTATATCATCAACCGTAACGAGGTTTAGGGTTCAGGATTCAGGGGATTTGATATTCATCGATACGAGCTCTAGGAAAGGATAGAGAGAACCTGAGAGCATTTCGCTTTGGGGCCCCATTCGGCTTGCGGATAGTTCGGATCAATCTCCGCAGATTCCCTGTACGGTAATTACCCTGAATGCGTTCTGGAACATGAAGCACAGGATGTCAATCCAACATGTCTGCTTTTTCTTCACGCATGTACGTTGCGACTTCTGCCCGCAAGAAGCTGGCAAAGTCCTTTCGGCAGAGCACATGGGGGTTCTAGCGTGGTTTCGCGTCCAAGAGACGTGACTTTCAGAATTTGAGATATCCGGTTGAGGGATTTCAGGGGTAGGTGACTTTCCAAGAAGTCGGGATGTGGGGATTCAAAGTGCAGCAGGCTTGGGCTTATGCTGCTTGAGCTTTGCAGGGTTGAATGGTCTCCTTCTTCCGGGAGGGCTCCGGGACTCGTCATCAGCCTAAGCACGAGATTGATGAAAAATCATGATGTGAGCAGCGAAACATTGCGTTTCCAAGTTGTCTCGCCACTTGCGTCAACGTACACTGTCTGTGGAAACACCACGACCCCTGCATCTGTTGTGATGAGTCCTCCACATCCACCGTTCCGCCTTCGCTGACAGTCATGTCGGCACATAGGAAGCCACGGTACTCCTTGCTCTGCAGGCAAGAGCTCTGTGTGTGTACATGCGTTTTGCTGTGTTTGACAATGCGGGCCACAAGAAGAAACCTTGCATGGGAAGCAGGCTCAGACTGCGCCCTAAACGCTGCAAGTCCGTACCCTAGATCGCCCTCGCAAGTCTCCAATTATCCCAACACCATACTCCCCTTTCGACCCCGGAATTTCAGTGCGAAACTACTAAACGGCTGAACCTGAACCCAAACCTGAAGCTGACACATTTACAGCGCCTGGTTTCCAAAATCAAACAGTACCACTTTTCCTGCCGTGCAGCCAAGCCCAGCTGCTCTGCCATATGCCAGAAGTAACTCTGCCCACAGCGGCTGCTGTAAACCTTGTTTCACCACAACAGTGTTGGTCTTATATACACGAACAGCAACAATCTTGACAAGAAAAGACGGTCATCATCGCAAATCATAACAATGACTAGCAGCAGCAGCAACAATAATGGGAAGAACAATGAGTCATGATACAGCTTTGATCAGAATTTATGTCTTGAGTCTGAATGCTTAGGGGTGTCGGTGTAACGTGACACATCTACTGATGTCGTGCCAGGCCATCAAGAACCCGAAGCTCTGATCCAAACTCTATCGTAATTTTAAAGAGAGTACTCCTAAACTACAACATCAAAATTCCTGAACCCATCCCCGAACCCTTGAACCTTGCCCGAAACATCCGCTCTTCGCAGCTCGAATCCCCAACAACATGACAAATCCGACAAAAACAGCAAGGACGCAACAGTCCTCACCCTGCAGAAATCGATGGTCAACTGCAGGTGTCTTCCCCAAGCTCGGGAATGTGAGATGCCTGCGAAACTGCTTCTCCAAACGGCAGGAACTCGGAGGTATTGCTTCGCTTGTAATGGTAATGGTCCGTTTCAATGGCGAAGGGACCCCTAGTTGCTCAACCCCCATATGCTGCCCGACGTCTGAGAAGGAGGTTTGCGGGTGTGCTGGGTGCAGCGCCACGACCTCGATTTGCACCAGACTTTCCACAGAGGGTAGTAGTAGCAGGAGTAGTAGTAGTAGTAGTAGTAGTAGTAGTAGTAGTAGTAGTAGTAGTAGTAGTAGTAAACGTAGTAGTAGTCGTCGTAGTAGTAGTAGTAGTAGTAGTCGTCGTAGTAGTAGTACTAGGAGCTGTGGTGGTGGTAATAGTAATGGTGGTAGTGGTAGTAGTAGCAGCAGCAGTAGAAGCAGACATAAAGACAGAGCTGACATAGTAGTCGTTGCAGTACTAGTCGTCTTCGCAGTAGTACTGGTAGACAACCGTAACGACTACCTCATGGACCTCATAGTAGCTCGCCACTATCACAACCATTACCACTGATACTTCCCGGAGAGCCGGAGGCTTGGGGCACATTTTTTAGTAGTATTAGTAGTATTAGTAGTAAAAGAACTACTAGTGTTAATAGTATTAGATAGTAGTAAGTGTAATATTGGCTCGGAGGAAAAGAGTACTCTGCGCTCCGAGCTGCCAGGCTCCCCTCGGACATCCAGACGACCTCAAGCTTGGGCTACTACTATTTGCTTAAGAAACCACCCAAAAAATAAAAATAATAATCCCTATATTAACCCCATAAGGAATATATTTTGTATTTTTGGGGGGTTCTTAAGCAAATAGTAGGCTAGTTCCAGTGCCTTCGGGGTAGGGCTGAATGCCCGGAATTTTACCCCACTCTGCGATTTCCACGAAATTGCCCTACTAATACGAGCCACGAGGATGCCGCCTGAAGCTCTGCACATCTTCAGGGACAAGAGGTTTCTCTCCATAGAGTCATTGTATCCTTTCAGCGGGCCTACAGCCGTGTCCGCCCTTACAACAATCCCTCCTGCCTCGCAAGCTGTCCCGCACTCAATCTCCCAGGGTCCTGCAATACTCCCTCTGGAGTGCAGCTGTCTGAAGGCCATGCCGCCTTTCATTCCCCACCTCTACCCCTCACCATCACAAAGAATTCCTGATGTTCAAGACTGGACAGCCCAGGGAAATGCAATCCGTCAAGCCCTACTGTAGCCTACATCGCATTTGAAAGCAGCAAACTTGGCTTTTGATCGATGATTCCCCGATTCTGAACTCTTTGAGCCATGCTGCATTCGCCAGGGCTGCCCCCACTGCTGCGATTACAACTGCTGCAGCTGCGAAGCTGGCAGCCTGCAGTGGTCCAAGACTTGCAGTCCAGCACGTATTTCTTTGCGGAAATTTAAAGGTCAACTCTCTTGTCACGGCTGCGAACTATCATGGCTAGCTTGACGAGGGTGATGAAGGGGGACATGGTACTCTCCTCCACATCACTCTCTCGATGCTAAGACATGATGTTTGTGTACCTGCACATCTACGCCTGTGGATCCTGCAATCACACAATACCGAGAACACTACACCTGTGTGTCATGCGCCTGCAAGCTGCAAAACCACCCCAACGACTCTTACATCCAGCAGCTATCGACCTGATCGACCTGGATTTGGGGTAAGACGGGGAAGTGCATTCTCCAGGTGGCCCGTTCGTGGAACTCGTATTAAAGGTTCACGGCTCGTGCGTCTTCAACTATTTCAGGTCATAGCTTGTGCGAAGAAGAAAAACAGAAGCCTGCGAAGCGACGGGATGCTCCTGGCAGTTCTAGGCACTGTCGTCGACATGGTCGATAAAGATGAAGATGAGTAAGAGTATTACGATGATAATGATCATGGTTATGATCATGAAGATGATGGTGAAGGTGATGATGCTGATGATGATGATGAGATAATGGAGCGGATTACGGTGACGAAGCCGGCAGCAGCAGGAGCAGGAGGTTAAAGAGGGGGAGGAGTAGCAGTAGTAGTAGTCGTAGTAGTAGTAGTAGTAGTAGTAGTAGTAGTAGTAGTAGTAGTAGTAGAAGGAGTAGTAGTTGTAGTAGTAGTAGTAGCAGTAGTAGTAAGGCATCCCCCCCGGTGCGACGCCCAAACCTCTTATTTTTGGGACTTGCTGTGGTCGGAAATGCTGTGTTTTACAGCACTTTTTTTCCGCAGTTATCGACAGTGGCAACTGTTCCTGGTTTCGTGTGTATTTTTATCACATTTTCTAACATTGTTCATCAATCTCGCACCCGAAAATGCTGGTATTTACAGCACTTGTCTTTGCGAATTTCATGATGTTTTACTGTTTTTGGGTGTCTCGATTTTCGTGCCCAAAACCTAGCGATCAGAATCAAGGTTTTTTGGGCCTCATTTTGATCATGATTTTCATTCAAATCGTTGGTTTGGAGAGCATCCATGTCCAAAACCTAATGGCGTCCATGGTCTAGCGCATTTTGGTTTGGAGAGCATCCATGTCCAAAACCTAATGACGTCCATGGTCTAGCGCGTTTTGGTTTGGAGAGCATCCATGTCCAAAACCTAATGACGTCCATGGTCTAGCGCATTTTGGTTTGGAGAGCATCCATGTCCAAAACCTAATGACGTCCATGGTCTAGCGCATTTTGGTTTGGAGAGCATCCATGTCCAAAACCTAATGACGTCCATGGTCTAGCGCGTTTTGGTTTGGAGAGCATCCATGTCCAAAACCTAATGGCGTCCATGGTCTAGCGCATTTTGGTTTGGAGAGCATCCATGTCCAAAACCTAATGACGTCCATGGTCTAGCGCGTTTTGGTTTGGAGAGCATCCATGTCCAAAACCTAATGACGTCCATGGTCTAGCGCATTTTGGTTTGGAGAGCATCCATGTCCAAAACCTTTCGAAATGTTGCTTATTTGCATCGCACCGAGCGGGGATGGTACTTTCCACTGCTCTCTAACAGCTTACTCTGTGGTTCACTAGTTCAATAACGAGTAGAGGCGCAAGAACCGCACATCAGCAGCATCCAGCATTATCATGTTCATCATCACTTTCGTCAGCACCATCTCGAATAGCATCATCATGAACATCATCATCATCATCATGATCATCTTCATCTTTATGTTAGGCCGGATTTCTTTGAGCCTGTGTTCGGGTTGTCTTCCATGTTGTACATCCACGAACTCAGCGACCGGCGTCGCACCAGGGGGGGATGGCGTAGTAGTAGTAGTAGTAGTAGTAGGAGTAGTAGGAGTAGTAGGAGTAGTAGGAGTAGTAGGAGTAGTAGGAGTAGTAGGAGTAGTAGGGGTAGGAGTAATAGGAGTAGGAGGAGTAGGAGTAGAAGGAGTAGGAGTAGGAGTAGGAGTAGGAGTAGGAGTAGGAGTAGGAGTAGTAGGTAGTAGGTAGTAGGTAGTAGGTAGTAGGTAGTAGGTAGTAGGTAGTAGGTAGTAGGTAGTAGGTAGTAGTAGTAGTAGTAGTAGTAGTAGTAGTAGTAGTAGTAGTAGTAGTAGTAGTAGTAGTAGTAGTAGTAGTAGTAGTAGTAGTGGTAGTAGTCGTAGTAGTAGTAGTAGTAGTAATTTGTAGTAGTAGTGGTAGTAGTAGTGGTAGTAGCAGTAGCAGTAGCAGTAGGAGTAGTAGTAGTAGTAGTGGTAGTAGCAGTAGCAGTAGCAGTAGGAGTAGTAGTAGTAGTAGTAGTAGTACTACTACTACTACAGTACTTCCACTACTACAGCACTACTACTACTACTACTGCTGCTGCTGCTGCTACTACTACTACTACTACTACTACTACTACTACTCGACTACTAGCACTAGTAATACTTTACTAGTGGTACTAGTCTCGTAGTACTAGTAGTACTAGTACGAAGACACTTGAAGGCACTCGGGACTTGAAGTATCTGGTGTGTGCGAGAGGCTAGTCAGAGAAAGAACCGAACGCTGAACATCTGGCAAACCATGGAACCAAGTCAAACTTGTTGCATTGCAAAGTCTCCTCGGGGCGGAACTTGACAACATCGGCCGGTGAAAGCTCCTGCGCCGCTGCATCGAACACCTGGGAAAAAAGGGGTGTTGAAGAGGTCTCAGGCCAAAGTACGATCCGAACAATGTGGGGTCTGGGGTAACGGAGATGGGCGCCACAAGGCCAACTGTGGGGCTCTGGAATGTGCTTCAAACTTCAAGATCTGTTGCAATAAAGGGGCCTTAATAATTACCTATACTATTTTGGGGACTTTTTCTTCTAACTATAGTATCACGGGCTTCAAAACCCTATTCTAATTATTAAGGCCCCTATAGTAGTGCTGATGTTCCTGTGGACTCGTTCCCTCGTGGTAGACGGCATATGCAAGGGACGGCAGAATCGAAAACAACACGATTGAACGTCTTGGCTTTGGTGAGACGCAAGTAGTGACCGAACTGGTGATTTAACTATAGCCGCATTGCTGGTAAGACCCTGCCAGATTTTGAGTACTGACCCACAGAACGAACACATAGAATCTGTAGAATATAGAAACTGCTTGAAACCCTATTGTGATTCTCGCTCAGACTTGCTTTGCTTACATGTCTGTTACACTTTGCAACCATCAAAGACCAACTCTGGACCTCCCCAGAGCCTCCAAAACCCCTTAATTAAGGAATATACCTTAAATGATAATAGGATCCCTTATATGATTTAAGGTATATTCCTTAATCAAGGGGTTTTGGAGTCTCTGGGTCCCCCCTGAAGCTTTTTGGGCCTCCTGGAAGTTCGTCACGCTGCGCCCCCGCCGAGCAGTGCCCGTGCAGTGGCCAGGAGATCCCTGGAATTTCGGAGTTTAGGGTTGATAAACGTATAAGTGTATAAGGTACAAGGTTGAGAGTTTCAGGCCTTTAGGGTTGGCAAATAAAGGAAATACTGGTACTTAGAGGATCAAGCAGGACTCGAGCTGGGGGTGGTAATGGTGGTACGTAGTGATATGAGCAGCAGTAGGTGTCCCGCTGCAGTATCAACAACGTTGCAAGGGCAAACACATAATATGGGGGCCTAAACAATTACCAATACTATTGCGGAGGGTTCCTTAATATTGTCATAGTATAATGTACCGCAAAACCCTATTCTAATCATTAAGGCCCCTATATTAGTTGAGATCCAAGCAGTCAGCTTTTCGCTGCAGGGAAGATCTATAATCCTTACACCTCCGAAATCTCTTTGCCATTGCGATTCGGAGCTCTGCATGGGTTCATGGCTCCACAAGTAACTCTCTAGAGCTGTGATACATCCTCCCCGTGAAGCTCTGAAATAGGACCTGCCTCACATCGTCGTTCCACCAGCAAGACCTCACGGAAGCTGGAAACTTCAGCTCGCAAGCATTGGGACTGCAGAGTCCTAGAGACAGCACAGTGGCAGCGATCCGCCTCTGAAGGCGAATGGGTTCCTGATGTATCGATAATAAGGTACTCTAACACGTGCCAGCACCGACGACTGCCGAACCAAGAGCTTCGAGGCTCGGCTTCTTCCAAGTGACAGGCAACAATTGCAGGTCTCGAATCTGCAGACCACTACTGAGACTACGACGTGAGCCATGAAGCCTTAGCCTAGAAGAAAGAGGAGGGTAAAGTTTCTGCAATCTGTGAGGCTTGTTGCACGGACACCACGTCTGAGGATCCGTTGCTGCGATGCTTGGAAGGCCAGGTGCACTTACGTCAAAAAGAGCCGTTCCTTAATGTGCAACTGCATTCGCACCCTTGCAAGAAAGGGCAACTCGGCAGTCACACAAAACCTGGATCCTTGAAGAGAAGCACAAAGGGTGCTTAAAAGAAACAAAAGACGGGAGGTACGATGCATGAATTCCCTGGCAGGCGAGTCAGTGTCACCATTCCAGCAAGGCACCATAGATGATTGAGCTGTGTCAAGGTGAAATGAAGGTCCAACATACAACCACCGACCCCACAACCCTGAACGCACAAAGACTAACCATCGCGTAGGGTTTAGGGTTCAGGGTCTCCCTACACCCTACACGCTAAATTCATGTTGATGCCAAACCCTCCCTGCCTTGAGTGTCGGACCAGTGCTTTGCGCCGGGGGCGGGAAAAGTGCCTGCAAGGCAACTGCACACGACCTATGACAGTGAGACTAAGAAAGATTGGACATGATAACACATGCGAAATACTTAAGCAGAAACCCTAATTGCTATTGCTGCTTTCCTTGTCTAATACTCAGATTCTTGCTGTTGGCTATAACTGAGGGCCGTGGATGCAAGATCTATGTCAACAAGTGTTCATGCGCAGTTCCTGGCTTCGAAAACTACAAGTGGTCCTCATTTTGTGTTGCGCGAACCATGTATGGAAGGTGACGTTGAAAAGCATCGGCAGGAATGACAATAAGGAGCACTTTCTCTTCTGATGCAGTTCTATACATAGCTCATCTCTATATGGTCACCGCCCAGGAGCGAGCCACATGGCCTACACATGCTTAGCAACTGCTTCCTCGAACATGTCTAGCAGTTCCCTGGAAGCCAAAGTCTCCCGGTCTCCAGCCCGAGTGGACGTGCCTGCGTCTGCAGGAGAAGCTCTGCGGCCTTTTGCAGGCACAAGCATTTGCAGCCGTCATGTTGACTAAGCGCGGCAGCGTGAAACCATGACACTTTGCTTAAACGAAGGCTTCATCTACCTTCAAGCCAAAGGAACTTAGACTGAATGAGGTAAGACAGTTGTAAAAAGGGGCAGCCGTACGCTGTCAGTAGGTATACCTTTCTAAGCAAAGAAGTCTTACACTTGCCAAAGGTTGAAAGACAAACCCCAAACCCCCACTGCCTTGCAGCAAAGGCCCCCAGGTAGTGCTAAACCATGCCAAGGCCCTGTCTCAACAATAGAGGGGGCTCAAGAATTCCAACAGGAGTTTGGGTATATTATACTATATCTAATTTTATAAATAAATAAATAAATAAATATATATATATATATATAGCTATATAATATGTAACCACCAACACAGTACTGGTATACTATACTACAATTACTTGTTACAATAAGGACCCTCCTCCCCCCGCAAAAAAAAGAAAGGGAACACAACAAGTATTGGTAATTACTGTTGACGATATAAATCCTGCATTACCTTAAGGACCCTAGACTCTTGGAATTATTGTATATTCTCTTATTATGGGCAATGCAGGATTTATATCATCAACCGTATATAGGCCTCTACATTACCGAGGGCCCCCAAAAAGCACATAAGCAAAAATTAGGATAGGGATATCCCATATAAATCCCCTTGTAATGAAGCCCAATAAGGTAGGGATATCCCCATAAAATGCTTATGCTTATGTGCTTTTTGGGTCCCCAATTACCACGCGACGCATCGGAGCCTTGGAGTCGGGGACAGCCGCGGTGTAGACCCTTGGCGATGCTGGCTCCGGACTTCGGCTTCGGGGCCCACTTATAGCCCAATTGGCGCGGCTTAAATAAATACACATATACATATATATATATATATACATATGTATATATATATACATATGTATATATATATATATATATATATGTATATATATATATGTACATGTATACAAATGTATGTATATATGTATTTTTGTTTGTTTTACTCGTTTATGATGTGGTTTAGGGTTTTAAGGGTTCGCATAGGGGTTTAAGGGTTTAGGGGTTAGGGTATAGCGTTTCGTCGGTTGAAGCGGAAGGTAAGGTGATAAGGCTCGAAAAGATGATAAGAGAACCGCTTAACTAAGGCTCTGCCGGAGGAGGGGAATGCCTCTGATAGCAAGCAGGAAATCTGCAACCGGCATGTGCCAGACGAGAGGTCCAAAGTGTTCTCTTCTTATACGCGCGTTGTCTGGCGTAACTGAGGGTGACCAGTATTAAAGATGAGGCTTGTGTTTGTAGCGAGTCCCGCTCTCTCTGTCCAACCACGATGGTATCCTCTTATCCCCTTAGGGCCCTTGTTGAAACTCCGAAATCCATCTCCAAACATCCTACCAGCACATCCAGAATCCTCATCTCTCCGTGCGATTCGAGGCTTTGCCCATAGAGACTCCAGCCTAGACCTACCAGAAGCTCCAAAGAGCGCTAAACCCAAACCGAAGCCTTACACCCTATAAGCCCTAAACCCAAAAAGCCCCTAATCCTAAGCCCTGAACGCCTGGTCCTAAACCCTAAACCCACAAGCCCCCTAACCCTAAGCCCTGAACCCAAACTCCGAAAACCTAAAAAAGCTGCCAGGCTGCAGGTCCCCACGAAACGCCGTGCAGGGAGCAGCTCGAAGAAGCTGGGAGCCGCGAAAGCCCACGGCTTCGATCAGCTCTGCCTGGCATGGGATACGCGGTTCGGGATTTTCTTTGCAAAAAAGCATCTAGTTGCCGTGATCATCGGAAGAGCCGATACCTAAACCTTCTAGCCCAAACCTCGGGAGGCGGGCCCCTTCCCGCAAGCTTGCCTGCCAGCTCATTCCTGCGTAGAGGATGTGTATTCGATCCTCTGGGAGCCAGTCCTCAAAAAGCAAAACGTCTGTGAGAGGGTGGCTGGATCTTCGGGCCTGCTTTAGAGTTTGTGGCTCACGGGCGGCAGTGTCGGAGGGTTGATGCGAGGTTTCGGTGTTCTGCTGAAGGTTGGGTACGTGGGACAGTGTCATCTTTCTGCCGCAGAAGCCGCGAACGCATTTCCTAAACCCTAAACCCGTAGACCCGAAACCCTTTTCGATAGACTCCGCTCAGATGCAGCGTGGATGACCCAGGAACCAAGGTGGCCGAAGCTCAGACATCTCTGACAAGGCTTGGGGCTTTGTGTAGCTTTCAAGGCGGGTTTAGGGCTTACGGCGCTTAGGGTTTGGGGCAAGGCAGAAATGGAGTACTTGCAGGGACTGGTGCTTGAAGACGGGTGTTGAATCATGGAAAAATGAGAATGTACCGCAAGGATTTGTTCAGGGTCTGAATCACCATGGCGACAGCTTCACTACCCAACCGACGATTTCGCGGAGGATAACGACGACGATGACTCTCATCACGATGGCATGGGTGGTGACGGTGATGAGGACCAGGATGAGGAGCAGAATATTCAGGTGATTTCCCAGGATGCTGAGGAGCCATGATGGTGATGGGGACGATGAGGAGATGCTGACTGCGACTATACTTTCACGTGCAACATCATGTCTACTGATGTCAAAGGCTGCGGAAGTCTCTGTGAGCGCCATGCAGGGCACCCGGCAGCTGAAGCAATACATATCTGCTGAATTCAGCCCTCCTTGGGAATACAGCTTGCCGAGGCCCTGAGTGCCTAAGTCTTGAATCGAATCTGGCACCCCTAGATTCAGCAACATGTGAGCCTTAGATGCCAAACCCTTGACCCATGAGTCCAGCGGAGTGAAGATGAGGCGCCAGCTCATGGCGAAGAGCGATGAGGGCGGGCACCTTTTCCAGAGCTGAGTGGCCGGTGAAGAGCTTGAGGTAGAATAGCGCGAAATGCGTGTTCACCAAAACAACCACGGACAACAAAGGCTGCAGGAAGACTCTCTTTATGAGTTTACAAAGGGATGCACAGCGGGCTCTCTGACCGCTGGTTTGGTACTACCTCCGATGACCTCCGAACATGCCTTAGGGCATCCGACGGCGGTTCTGGTGATACGAATCTCGTGCCCTTGCTCTACCTTCTGGCTGATCCTGCTCAGCCCTAATTCGACTGACTGCCATCGGATACGGAACCGCGTGCATCCAACAAGCTTGAGTTCATATCGTCTTATTGCCATGTAGAGGAAGGATGAGCAAGGCGAGTTGGCGAGAGAGGTTTTGAAGAGTTTTCCAGAAAGAACTCATGCATGCGCTGTGCCTATAGACCCAAGAAGCCAGACATGTACAGACAAAGTGCTAGGTCCTATGTTCAAATCGAAGCTCCATGCTAAGACGTATCATGGGGAACTAAACCTTAACGTTTTGAATATGAAGGGGTTATATAGGGATTATACTACCCCAGAAAAGGTTAAAGCGCGACGTGGAATAAGCTGCGTCCCCAGCGAAAGCCAAAAAGGTTAAAGGTTTCCTACTCTACTACTAGGAACAACACCAGGACCGGGCCGGCCTGCTCGGTGAGAAAGTGGAAGTAGTTGAAAGCATAACCGTGAAGGACGTTGATCCTTGGATGGCACTAGCTAGCTGCATGTCTTTCAGCGGCTAGTTTGGCTAGTTGATGATCCATTTTGGGTTTTGAGCTTAAGACTTTATGTTTCAGGTGTTCAGGGAAACACTGCCTGAAGCCTGCAGCTATAGCTAAGCCTCATGGATAGAAGCTCACATGCGCTGCATGTGACGAATCGGCTCGCCACGAGGTGCGACTACGGTGGAGAGATCTGGACCGCCTTACTGCTGCCACGCTGCAGGGCACCGCGAACTGGCACCAGATCCTCTGCGTAGGGGCGTGAAAGTTAGTGAATTTTCTCTGAGATGGTGGAATTAAACCGACAACAGCAAAGAAGTCAGGGCTCGTGGTTCCCTTTCAGGTATGTAAACTCAATGCATGGTGTTCGGATATAGCTCTGAGTATTTCAGCTTACTTAGCATGCCGCAGCTCAAATCCTAAATCCAAAATCCAAAACCCTAAACCCAAAACCCTGAACCCAAAACCCAAAACCCGAAACCCTAAACCCAAAACCCTAAATCCAAAACCCTAAACCCAAAACCCTAAACCCAAAACCCTAAACCCAAAACCCTAAACCCCAAACCTTAAATTCACCAACACGAGAGTCCACGGCATCGCAAGCGTCGGCGTCGGCGTAGAACCGGAGCTCGTCGGCTGCCTGAACCGAGGCTCGCGAGCTACGCAATCACATCGGCATCCAGGACTACTATATCAATCATTATATCATATCATCTTACCAGATTATACTACATTAGTTACATTTATGCAGCATTATACTTTCTATGTTTTAGGTTTGGGGTTTACAAATTTTGGTTACAGGAAACGGCAGAGGGTCGAAGGTTCTCCGTCATGATCATCATAGTTGTTATCGCCGTCGCCACCACCGGCCTACTCACATCATCGCCAACATCGAGAGCGACGATGTAAACATCGCCATTGCCGTCATCTGCGTATCGGCAGTTTATGCAAGCCTCTGCCACCAGACTCAACAACAACCACCGCCAATGTTCTGCCAACATCGACGCCGAATAATGGGGAGAAGCCAGGCCGATACTGTTGCATCAGCAGCAGCAACTAAAAGCACAACGACGTCTTCGACGACACCACCTAGGGCTTACTGTTGAGAGTCTGCCCGGAATGTTGCTCAAGCGCCCATTGTCATGCACCAGGAATCCTAGCACTGTGAGCTTACAACCTTCATTTTCACATTTCCAGGGAGGCAGTGGCCGGGTTCTGATCCGGCCTGCCAAAGCAGATTCTCCTCCAAGATGTGCTGCGGCAACATCTTCAGATCTGCACCTCAACTCCCGTGAAGCCCGAAGCGACCTCTAAGTCTCACACCGCTTCAGCCTTTAGATGCATGTCATCAGTGCCTTCAAAATTATTCATGTGAGCGACCGCTACTGACGCTACTGACTAACGTGAACTGTCATCAAACAGTGCAATATGCACGTGGCAATTGCATGAAGACGACGGAGATGACGACGATGATGATGATCACGAAGATGACGTCGATGTGCATGACGATGACGATGAAGGGGGCCACTGTGGTGACGGCGGCGGCGGCGGTGGTGGTGGTGGTGGTGGGGTGAGGATGATAATGCTGCTGATAATGACAGTCATGATGCAGATGAGAAACGTGATGATGGCAAGGGAGAAGAAAAAAGGGTCATCAGGATTACGACTATGAAGATGAACCTAGATACTAACAACCAGGTCAAGGCAAACTCAATGCCAATGGCGGAACCGTCGATGATGGTGGTGATGGCCAACGGTTCACAGGTGACCGGAACGTGAGACTCTGCGACTACCGCCAAGGTCGGCGGAACGAAAACTTTGAACCCAAATTCGAAGGGTTCTTCCCCCCCCGTTCCGACAGACCTTTGGGCAAGCGAGCGCGAGCCAAGTCCACGATGTTGGGAGCGGCGAGGTCCTCCCACGGTGCGGGGTTCAGAGCTTACACTGCAGGGATGCCATAGTTGCTTGGGCAGCAACTACAAGTGCACATGGCAGGCCTGAGAGAAGTCTAGTTAGACTGATGTTGCTGCCATTGCTGATGATGCGCAGGATGATGAGAGAAGTGGTGAATCATGATGATGGTGACGATGCTGGTGGTGGTGGTGGTGGTGGTGGTGGTGGTGGTGGTGGTGGTGGTGGTGGTGGTGGCGGTGATCGCACGGGAGACCAGGGCAATGATGGCGGTGGTCATGATGAGTTGTGTTGTTGCATGATGACGACGATGACCATAACCGTGATGGGTATGGTGCTTGCCAAGATCATGGCAAGTTGCTCAATCGCGACAATTTTTTGAAGCTGGTACCAACATGACCGTCTTGATGCTTTCATTCCTTACTGTGGGCCTTGCCTGTGTGGAGCTTTCAGCATGCAGTTTCGAGTCTGTGGCTCGAAGCTCAATCGCTTTATCGATGGGTTGAATCTTCTTCGTTTAGGTTAGTTGTGCTATGACTACAGTCTGGGTATTCTCAAGGAACTGCAAAAAGAAACCCTAAACTTTGGGAGGTCATCTTTCTCGCTTGCACTGAACCGAAACAGCCGTAACACCTCACGCATAGACTACATACGCCGCATATCCTGTATGTATACCTGGAAATGAGACATACTACAGGAAAAAACATAATTTACAGCTCCAGCCTGTGGTCCCCATGACAGAACGAGCTCGCATCTTGCTCGCTTGCACCCGCAGACACGACAAAAACCTACCTCTGAACCGGAAGTGGTGTAAAGTGTAAAGCTAAGCCTAAACCCAAGCCCGGAATCTCAAGCCTAAAGCCAAGCGGCCTTGAGCTCCACCCCTGGGACAGGGATGAGATGTTCGCCATCCCCGATATCTTCCGCCATGGCCCTAAGTAGACAAATTTAGCAAGCGATACAAACGCCAGGGGCCCTAAAGAGGGCCTCAATGATTAGACCGGGCTTTATGAGCTTCAGGGTTTAAGGATGCTCTCATTGGTCAGAATAGGATTGTGGAATACATGGTAGGTTGTTGGCAAAGACGTGATCGGCGTTTCGGGATTTAGGGGTTCAGGGTTCGAATATAGGCGTCTGACTGAATATAGAAACTGAAGCCCCCACGTCCATCGCACAGCTTCTTGCCGTTTTTCTACAAGCTAGAAGCAGCGAAGCGAAAGGTGCTATCAAAGGTCATGATGCGAAAGACCGTGGATCCATGAATCACAACGGCTATAGCCAAAACAGAAATGTCTCAAGCCTCTGCTTCATCTAGAGTCAGCAAAGAAGCATTACCAGAAACATCTGTACGATCCGTGGCATTGCAACATATAGCAAACCTGGTCAATAGTACCCAGCGCCGGGTCCCAAAATGCCAGGACCGAGTCGCTCTACGGCAGCAGAATGGTTCAGCAGGCCCACTGCCAGCAGCGTCAGCACGATTTGGAGAGACCCTGAACCGGTGCTTTTCAATATGCGCCCTTCAGGGCCAGTTTAGTTTCTCTTCACTTGAACAAGGCGTGCAGAAGTTGCCATATCCGGGGGTGTACAACTTCGGTTTTGTCCGAGCACAGTCAGGTACCGGCAGGACCAGTGCACCTACGATGCAAACCCCGTGCACCCAAAATCGCTTGGCACACCTCTCCCCTTTAAAGTTGTCGGCTCCCACAGCGGCAGAGTCACCAAAATCTAGCCAAGGGCTTGGGGGTTCCGTAGTTTCGAGTTCGAGCCTAGAGCTTTGGGGCTCCGAACTCGATGTTCGCCGCTGCTTCCATCACTAGCTTCTCTCTCGAATCCGTGGCACCTCGGAGTATCTGCTGTGAACCTGTGCAGACTATGTTTGCAAAAACAGGGACCCTAATATGGTACCCAAAATAGTAGGATCCTTATTATAAGGACCCCAAAATAGGTACCCCTAATTTTGAAAACAGCCGTTCTCAGAGCTTTGGATTTGGTGCGGCAGCTTCAGACTGCTACCTCGCAGCTGATTCAGTTTTCTAACTGCGGGAGGTCGCTCACGAAAGCGCAAGCAAGGAAACACCTCTCCTCACCCACTTGGTGGAGTTTCTGTCATCACTGACCCCGTTGCGATCCTCACCTGTGTTGCTTGCAACTTCTGAAAGCAATGAAAGAATGAGACTACAAGAGAAATATGATCCTTACTAGCATAGTTGCGGGATATTCCTGCTAAACCACACTTAACAATACAAGACAAGAAGAGCGATACAACAACTACAGCAACTGCTATCTAATTTGCTGCTCTTGCTACCACTACGATATTTCTGCTAGTAAACCCTAAACCCTAAACCCTAAACCCTAAAGTAGTCTTGAACAAGACTCCCGGCCTGGCAGCCCAGGAAGGACCAGCAGGGACGGTGGGCCCGGTCGGCCAAAGGCAGGTGACTGGAGCAGTCTTGGCTGGAAAGGGCGGGTGGGGCCCTGATGACAAAAGCATCCTTGCACCAGACATGATTCTGGAGGTTTTGTGATATTGCGTGATGTTAAATGAAGGCTAACTGAAAACCGAGATCGCGGGTTTAGGATACGATTTAGGATTTAGGGATGCGCAGGATTTCAGAAACCTGCTCAAGCAACTCGACAAGTAGTGACGTCCTTCGCCCTCTTGGAAGCGTCTGACAATGTCTGGGACTTCTCAGAAGTTATAGGGTGCATCAGGCTAGCCACCAGCTTGGATCGAAACGGGGGCCAAAGACCCTCAGCTCGCAACCCACAATGCATCCGAAAGGATCGACATACGTGCCCAAGAGGTTCTGCAGATCCCGGAGTGTTGGCACAGTTGACCATGAAGCCCTCAAGCCCTACATCCTCATCACAGCACCGCCAAAAAAGCCATTCGTGCTGAAAACAATGATTGTTGCATGCCTTCAGCACGGCGCCCAGGAAAGAAACGATGGCACCTGAAGGACTTAGTTAGCAAGCGTGGTCATCATTATGACGATGAAACCAATCATAGTAAGCACACGGCAGCACAGAAATTGTCGCATACCAGCAACAATAGCAGCAATGCCAATGATGCCATGGGAATCAAGTCCAAAGTCTAATTAAGGTAGAGAGCAGAAAGAAGTTTATAGCTTTGAGTTTCGAGTGTAGGCAGAGTACAGGGCTTCGAGCTCATGCCCCTGACTGCCGCGCTTAGCAGCAGTTTCGGAACCTGGTTGTATGATAACTGGAGCGCTGTGATGCTGCACTCCATATTTATGCTGCAGCTGCTTGAGCAAGAAACCAATATCGGAGGTCGAACATAGAAGGGATTTTAATTTATACCACTGAGTAAGAAGGAATCGCAGAGTATAAGGGACCTAGTTGAGAACCCTAAACCCTAAACCCCTCCACCTAGTCGGCAAGTAGAACCCCTCTTGTAAGGACTGGCCTGGCGACAGATGGAGCTCCACATCTTCGAAGGTGTGGTTGAGGAATTCCAAAGCCTTCTGGGGGCTTCATTGGGGGCTTCTTAAACTTGTCGGGTATCATGGGGAACTAAAGGTTAGCCTTTTTGATTTCCGAGGGGTTATTTAGGGATTATACTACACCAAAAAGGTTAAAGGTTACCTACTCTACTACTAGGTAAAGATAGGCTCCTATTTCGGGGTCCTTAAACTGATTAAACCTACCTGATCGATCCCACAATTTCTTTGGGGTCTAGATTGGGCGCTTGCAGGCGGAAGGTCATTCTGAAAGAAGCGGCCCTCGGGACATTCTAAAATATCAGTGTCTGGGTTACTTACGTGACCACCGGCAAAACTCCAAACCCAACAATGCCGCTAGGCTTTGCCAGGGGTCGGGTTCAAGATCTCAGTCTGCAGAAAAGCAGTATTGCAGCAGCTGGTGCTGACAAGATTTTTACTCTTCATGCATCATATTCAAATTGGCCAAGAGTTCATGGTTCAACGATTTCGTGTGCTACGACTCGCCTCGGCGTTGCTATTGTGATGGTGATGGTGGATGATGACGGTGACAGTGATGGTGACGACCATAGTCATCATAACCATAAGCCAACAGCACTCCTGCTCTGCCTACGATTTCGCAAAGTCCACCGGACTAATATGGGGCCTTAATAAATACAATAGGGTTTGGGGACCCATTTTACCATACTTATAATAAAGAATCCAAGGAATAATATTGGTAATTTCAGCCCCTATAGCACCAGGGCCCTGTAGCACTCTGGCCTTCGTCAGCTCCTTCCCGTCGCAGCCCTGAGGCAAGGGGCGGCGTGCGCCACCCTGACAGCCGAAGGACGTGTTGGGACTCCGAGGAAGATATGGGACTTAGTAACCAAGTTTATGATCAGGGTAACCATACTTATAACTACTCAAGGTATTTATAACCATGCTTACGAAATCCATGATCCTCCAGGTGAAGCCGGATCCTGGGGTCTCGTTCTCACGAGCTCTCACTGTGGCTGTGGGTCCAGGCACCAGAACAGGAAGCCATGTCGGCAAACTCGGGAACGACTGTTTACGGCTGAGGCAGGGTAGACTAGTCTTGGAGAGGAGGTACTTGCCATCCCACCTCAATTCCGAGAGCCAGCTGATACCCTTCCGGTATACAACATTGCGGAGTAAAGGAACAACTGTTTCGAGTTGGACTCTCCTTCTGGGCCGTTCTGTCCAAATCTGACCTCTTCAGCTATGAGGCTCCGCCTTCTGGATATAGACTCCATAAACCTCAAGTGCAAACGCACTGCAACTATCAAAAAAGTGCCTGTTGGTGAGGTCGAAACTCACATTGCCAACACCAGGACGCGGTTCTAGGAAAGCTTGACAGGAGGAGTAGTCATAGCAACGCTGTGCGATTGCCATATCTACAGCTCGGTAATGTTTCAAACCTTCTTTTAAGTATGATTTTTGGTGCTGGTCTGCCAGTCTTCTTGATATATTGCCACTATCATGAATACCAGATTGAAAAAACTTCGTTACCATTCTTATTGTCGGTCCCAGTATTACCCGAGTCATTATTGCTATTGCTGTCTTCGGTCCTCCCATAGCACCGGCCAGTGCAGCTCGTAGGCCCTCTGCGGCAATGCAGGAAACGAACCTTGTCGCAGGTACTGCTTGGAGCTCAGCTAAGGGTGACCCTGCTGGTGCTGAGGTTGATGATATTTTGGTATTAATATTCCATGCTAGTATAATATACTAGATGATGAAACTATAGCCTAGGATGCTCTATTAGAGAGTAAAGAATATTCTGTTAGAGTATAGTATAGTATATATATATATATATATATTCAATTATAGCAATGCGGGAGCTGTTTACTTCACAGGGAACAGCCAACATCTGAACTTGCAGAGATGCGAATCTCTCGTTCCGGGTTGCCAAACATCACGCACCATTCTTGGAAGGGATGAAAACATCCGGTCCAACTTTTGGGGCTAATCGGGTGTAGGCCTAGGGCTTTTTAGGCATTAAGCTAACCCTAGACCCTAAACTCTCCAACAACTCTGAACTTTATGACTGGCTATGTGGAGCCCGGGCTTCTTTGAGGAACCCTCTACCATCTCTGAACTTTATCTGGCTTGGCTGGCCTGTCTAGAGATTTCGACCTGCAAGCTTCATACCGGCCCCAGCCGCCAATCCCAAGCCTCCCATATGGGAGTTTCCGAAAATAGGGGGCCCTGATATAGTACCCTAAATAATCAGATCCGTATTAAAATAAGGACCCGAAAATAATGTTCGAAAACTTCCTTTTGCCTCATTGGAAAGAGCCCAAGGACTCCAAAAACCCATCCATTCAGGATTGCTGTGCTGATAACAGATCGAGGGTATCGGGGCCGATGGGGAAGGGCTGGTAAACATCAGTATTGTATCACATCATGGTATAGTATACTTACGGTATAGTATAGAACAGTATCGCATAATTGTTGTAAAGTATAGTTAGTATAGTGTACTTATAGTCTAGTATAGTCTATTATATTATAGTATACTATAGTCTGTTCTGTTATTGAATGAAACTCACTGATCGCGCAGCTGAAGGCTTTGCCGCGACGAAGCTTTCAAGCGCAAGGCGAGAGGCTGGGGCACGGAAGACCCCATGCCTCAAACCGTGAACCTCCAGCTCAAGCCCTACAATCCTCCAAACGGATGTATAAGGGTTGCTACAAGGGATCTATAAGGGTAGTACTTGGTGCAAAAAAATTATCTTCTGATGGGCTTAAGAGCTCGACGGAACTGCTGAACAAAAAGCTTCGCATTCGTGTCATTGTATTTGCTCCCTGAACCCCGCACCCCCAAAGCCGGAACTCTAAATCTTAAACCGGCAATTTCAGGCCCTAACCCTCAAACCTTGGTTCCCAAGCCCTGACTGTGTTATTCTCTAACCCTAATCCGCATGACCTGGAGCCCTGCAAAACCGAGCTGCCTAGATGCCCTAATTCATACGAACCCCGCCGCCCAATACCCTACACCCAAACATTAAATACCAACATGAAATACCCAAACCATATACCCTGGACATTAAATGCCCCAAACCCTAGAAATGAAATACCAGTAAATCACCTTGTCAACAGACTTTTTCAACAACGAAGCGCTTGGGTTGGCGAGGCCCCGAAGCGTTAGCAGCCAGAAGGGCCACAAGCGCATGAGCAAGTCCCTAAGGTGTTAGATGTGTTAGGTTTTAGGGTTTAGGGTTGTAGGGTTCAGGGTATAGGAGCCCCAATTGACTACTATATCATTGGCTTAAGATAAGTAACTACTAGTTGGGTTGAGATTTAGGGAAGGGCTCGGGATCTAGGGACTTCGGAGGAGGGCTTCAGGCTATGGGGCTACGAGGCTACATGGGAGTTTCCGAAAATAGGGGACCCTAATAGAGTACCCTAAATAGTAGGATCCTTCTTATAAGGACCCCCAAATAAGGTACCCCCAATTTTCGGAAACCCCCACATTCCAGGGACTGAGGGTCGCTGTTGACGTGTGAGGCTGTGCGAGCGATGGCAGGTTCCAAGTTTCCCCTTCTCTGCGACGAAGTGTCTGGGCTCCCAAATTGGAGGACTTAGGTTTAGGGTTTGGGGTGCAAGGACATCGACCGATGATGTCGGGGACTAGGGTCACAAGCACCAAAGGCTACAGTCACGGATGCCGCTAAGTAGAGCTCGAAATCTTAAATGTCCCATACTAATGCTCACCTTGGCTCTAGTAACCGGTATTTGTCTACGACGGGCTTCAGATTGCAAATGGTTGCGGCAGGTGTCTGAGAGTAAGGCGAAGAAAAAGCCAGTGCAGCAACCACCAAACAAGAGCATCATCGCAGCCCGATATCCTGCACTCCGGACCTGCCTCATGAACCACCCTAAATTAAAGTCTGAACTCTAAGAACCATCACAACGCCCCGTTGATGAACAGTTTACGAATTTCTTCTGATTTTGGTGTTCTTCTGCTGCTTAGACTGCAATGCAACCCAGGACCTGTATGTCTCTGCTCTCAGCCCCACATCCCGAGAGGCAGAGCCGGGACATACCACGGATTGAAACGCTCAGCTTACGACGCAGAATAACAGATTACGACTGCCAGTGCTCTTACAAGGATATTTGACTTTAATGCTTCTGCTGCTGCTCCACCTCCTGCTGTTGCCGCTGCCACGACCACAACCACGACCACAACTACTGCCCCGACTGCGACTACTACGACGACTATTTACGCGTGCAAGGACTAAGCAACTATCACCAGCTACCAAGCTCCACAGTTGCTTGACTACGGGAACAAGCCAGCAAAATCTTACAACGAGCTGTTCCGCATCGTGCACTCTGTCATACTCGAGCAGCACTAGTTCTTCACATCTTTTTTGCCATCGGCAACATCATTTGACGCGTCGCGCTTCTCACCCAAAGGAACCTCGAGAGAAAGGGCTGGTAGTAGTAGTAGTAGTAGTAGTAGTAGTAGTAGTAGTAGTAGTAGTAGTAGTAGTAGTAGCAGTAGTAGCGGTAGCGGTAGCGGTAGCGGTAGCAGTAGCAGTAGCAGTAGCAGTAGCAGTAGCAGTAGAAGAAGGAGTAGTAGTAGTAGTAGTAGCAGTAGTAGTAGTAGTAGTAGCAGCAGCAGCAGGAGTGGTAGTAGTAGTCGTCGTGGTGGTGGTGGTGGCGGCCGTGGTGGTGGAAATTCCTGCTGGCCATGGTAATAGCAATGGTGACAGTCCGAGTAATTGAAACAAAAATAACAGCTGTGCCCACAGGTTCGAATGTTTTGCTCGGCTTGCTCTGCGCAAAGTCAACCCTAAACCCTAAACAACGATCTGGACCCGGGCATGACAACCATCCATGAGGTTGACTTCCATGTCTGCATGCGCCGGGTTGGGAGACTTCTGTTACATAAACGAAGCGAATGTAGGAACCTGATTAAAAAACTTATTAAGGTTCCTTATATGAATCCTAGTATTCTGGGGTTATAGGCCCAGGGTTTCTTAATCAGGTTCCTACATTAGTGCAGATCCGCACGAGCCTGAAGTAGCCTGAGCATTTCTGAGCCTGTTGATATGTGGGTGGTTGTCAAAATTATGGTCCCTTTTTGGGTCCCTATTATAATACGACACCTATTATTCAGGGTACCCAAAAAGGGACCTTAATTTGGACAACTACCATGTGCAGGAGAACTGAGGGGGACAAGATTCAGACCTCATCTTCGATCGTAGAGCTGAGCTGTTGAGACCCTTCAGGTATCAATACAAATACTAATATTTATACTAATATTAATACCAATATTAACATTAATAGTAATTCTAATACAGATATTAATACTAGTTCAATTTCGAAAGTTCCACCCGTCTTCGTGTCATCATGCAAATGCATGATGCCTCTTTGATTTGTGCAGGCACCCTTCAGCGCTGAAATCTGTCGTTGCTAATGTCCCCCGCTCCCGAAACCCCAGAGAAAAAAAGGGGGTGTCTATGTTCGTCCTTCGGGAAAACCTCGGAAGCTGCCACTGCATTCGAGAAGCCGTGTCCATTTTGGCGACGCGTGCCGCTTGTGGCATTAAGGTACATGCACCTGGCCAAGTCCGCGCTGTCAGTCTGTTGCATTTCACCCGCAGGCCATGCCAGGACTACTGCTAGAGTAACGGCCACTGCATTGCACCGACGCAAGTTGCCCAATCGTCGCCGCCCTGGCCACGTACTGCAGCCGCTGTGTCTGAATATACAGTAAGAAAGATGTACATGAGATGTGATAACTGCCATAAGCCTTTAACAAAGATATTAGCAGCAAATTGGGTGGTCCTCGGAGTGTGGTTGGTTCTCTCTGCCTCCCCGAAACCCCACCCTCACACCATCCAAACTTGGCTGGCAGTGCCGGATCAATGCTGTGCCAAGCATTGTGGGCACAGTACCTCTCTGCCACGCTGCTGCACAGGCGCAGGTCTTATCTCGAGCATTGGTAAGAGAAACGAACCGTCTAGAAGTGATGACTGCTAGACTTTGCAGTGCAGGCATCTTGCTGTTTACAGGTACTGGTCAGAATAACCCATGGCAGAGATCTGCAGACCATGGATGGGGAGGCACGCTGCTTTGCGACCGATCCTCGCAAGTAAATTTTTCACCTGAGTCTCATGCGATATGGAATACTTTAGGGGCATTAATAATTCGAAAAGGGTTTCGGGGCATACTATACTATATACTTATAATATGGAACCCGGAAAAGTTCAGGTAATTATTGAGGCCCCGATCTTGGTGGCTTGCATGCTGCGCTTACTCACTTGGGCTGGCCAGGATAGCAACGCTTCTGTCACGGCTTCGGCCCCGCTTGGCCATCATAGTCGGCACTGTCAGAACTGGGGCGACGGCTGCAAAGTACACAGGATGCCTGCAACAAGTCAAAGTTTAAGCTTCACGCGGGAGTTTCCGAAAATTAGGGGACCCTAATACAGTACCCCAAATAGTAGGACCGTAGGATCCTATTATAAGGACCCCAAAATAAGGACCCCCCTAATTTTCGGAAACTCCCACTTCTCAGGGCACAACTGCTACACCCTGTATCCGATCTCCAGCGGCGCTCTTCGGGGCTAGGCTGAAGTAGCGAAGAGCTTCCACTGCAAGCTTTAGGGTTCAGGGTTCCGGTTAAGGGTTTGGTTAGGATTTAGAGTAAGATGCAACTTCGGGTTACATCCACCAGGAGAGCCCACACCGGGATCGCAATCCTTCCGCCTGCACTGGACATTCACAATTCTGTGTCGGAACATCTGGCATATTCTCCCTGACTCCATGGGAACCTACTTCCCAGAGAAGCAACTTGAAACTGGATGGGGTCCTGCATCCCGGAGCATCAGCTCTAAACCCAACCACGCAGAGCTGAATCATCAACATCTCCCTCAACACCCAGCACCTCCCCGGCCAGTGGCTACCCCTACCCTTCACGCCTTCTGCCCTAAAGTGCTCACTACTTAACACGCTTTCCACCAAATCCACTAAGGCCACCTAAGCAGTTAAAGCATGTGAATAAAGGCAATACCTCAAGACCCAAACCCTAAACCTAAGCTTTGCAGCCCTTGGAACCATGGTTAACAGAATATTCTTGTGAATCCCTTCAGTTGCATTAGATTCAAAACGAAGTTCTTATTAACCCCCTTAAGTGTTAGGGTTTAGGGTTTAGGGTTTACTGGAAACAAGATGTATTTCCTAAGAGCAGCAAAGGAAGCCCCGGCCTCCTGTATCGAGGCACTTCCTGAAGCAACGCTACCGGATCTGCTGCTCCGGCGGCTCCGGCTTCCTTTCGGAGCTTTGGGTCCATAAGGGATAGGGGGTAAGGGGTAGGGGAGGGGGTAGGGGGTAGGGGGGTAGGGGGCAGGGGGTAGGTTTCGTTTCTTTCTTTTTTTTAATGGGCTCTTTTCCACCTGCAGGTACAGCTAGAACTCCTGGTTTCGGGTTTTAGGGTTGAGGGGTTTAAGGGCTGGGGCTTACTAAGGGGTTTAAGGTTTAGGGGTTTAGGGTTTAGGGTCCAGCCTGAGGTTTCGGGTTTAGGTTTAAGGGGTTAGGCTGAGGTTTAGGGTTTCAGGTGCCTTCTTTGAGCATAGGCTTAGACTCTCACATTTTCAGGGATCTGTGGGCTTCCGAATATGGGGGACCTTACTTTAGTAGGATCCTTATTATAAGGACCCCAATGTAAGGTATCCCTCATTTCCGGAAACTCCCAAACCCTAAACCCTAAGTAGAACCCTTATAGATCCCTTCAAGGAACCCTTAAAGGATCCCTTTAAAGGCGAGGCGTTGAGGTGGGAGCCTCTGGCTTGAGATCAAGGGCCCTAAACCCCTAAACTTTAAAGCCCTAATATAGGGGCCTTAATAATTAGAGTAGGGGTTTCGGGGCCCATTATACTTTATTTCTACTAGGGAACTGCTTAGGAGGCTTTTCCCGCAAAAAAAAGGCCATCGCGGCCCTGCTTAAGGGATTCGGGTGCAAGGTGTAGAGCTTGCGTGGCTGACAAGATAGATATCTCAGTCTATTTCTTGCTCCAAAAACAATCATGACATATACATATGTCTATATATATATATATATATATATGTATACACAGACACAAATATCTCGCTCCCTCTCTCTCGCTCTCTCTCTCCCTCTCTCTCCCTATCTCTCTCTCTCTCTCTCATGACTCTCATGCTGTCG